TACGGAGGCTCCGTGGTGGTAGTAGTGTACGGAGGCTCCGTGGTAGTGGTGTATGGCGGCTCCGTGGTGGTTGTATACGGAGGCTCAGTGGTTGTTGTGTATGGAGGCTCTGTGGTAGTAGTGGTGTACGGAGGCTCCGTCGTAGTTGTGTATGGAGGCTCTGTAGTCGTGGTGGTAGTGTATGGAGGCTGTGTGGTTGTGGTGGTAGTATACGGAGGCTGTGTGGTTGTGGTGGTAGTATACGGAGGCTGTGTGGTTGTAGTTGCAAGTCGGGTTGTAGTGGTTGTTGTAACAGGGGGATTTGTTGTCGTAGTAGTTGCAACTCGGGTTGTAGTTGTTGTAGTTGTTGTTGTCGAGCATGTAAACTTGAAGGTGAAATACACCCACCAGTTGTTCGCAAAGACAATGGTTCCAGCAGTTCCTGTTTGAGTCCCAAGTGTTGGCGAGGTGAGTGACGCATGGGTCACGATTTTGTATTCAGTGTCATCACACTTGGATGTAATTGAGGAAATTGGGATCGTGCAGGTGGCAGTTGTTGCCCCGCTGTTGATGGTGCAGCTTCTATCCCTACCCGTACTGTAGGGATAACTGCCAGGGTTATTTGGAGGCGTTCCAGTCCCAATCCAGACATGGACTTCGTTGTATTTGAAATCCTTTGTCAGCGGATAGTTGACGATGAGGTTGGAACCGGACACCTGGAGCGACACGCTAGTCCCGTAATTGTTCTGGCCTACGATAAACGGGGCAGCTGAAGTCAAGGTTACTCCGGTCGGCGTAGTCGACTGTCGTGGGAAGATGGAATGCTTTTTGTTGCGGGCTCGGGGCAGCCAATTCTCTCGACCGGCAGCAACGAGAGTGGACAAGAGGTTCAGCACAATGAAGCTGAGCAACAGCTTGAAGTGGACTTTCATGTTGAAAGGCTCAAGAGACAAGAGTTGGAGACAAGACTCAGAGACTGTTCGTCAGTGGATTGACTGATTTGCCGTGTAGATGGATGCAGCGGTGTTGCTTAGGAGTCTTATATAGACGATCCTCTATGTTTCTACAGAGGCAGCAAAGTGAGTGACCCAAGTGATGACCTCACAAGCCTCCTTCTCGTATACATGAAACCTGCTGAGTCTATTTACAAGTCACGGTCTTATCTCTCTCTCTCTCTCTCTCTCCTGCCATTGTGGGTATCTTTGTGCTTTGTGTCAGTAGTAGTAAACCAATCCATCAACCGTCAGGATCAGTGGCAAGATCAATTGACTTTCTTTCACGCACTGAATACTAGAGCTTAATCGCACACAATAGTTCTAGCCTTCAGTATGAACATCGGTAGAATACCAACTCCGGTCAGAAGTGTTGTCATGCTCCTAACAGAGTTCGTCTACAGAGTTCAAAGTTCGCCAGAGTTCTGAGAACCAGACCTGCACACCGGATCGTGCCACACCTCGAGTCTCGAGCTGGCGGGAGGCTCACTCTATCCTGAAGAGATGGAGACAGACCGTCTGGTTCCGATTCGGTTTCTTTGTTCTCTTCAGGTGAAATTCGCGCGACAATCTAGACCGGGATAGACAATGTGAAGAGCACGGGGTTCCACATCGATACGGGAAGCCTTCGACGTCAAGACCACATCCTAGACATGGGCATTGGCTCTGGAATCTAGAGCATCTCAGAGCTATATGCTATAAGAGATCTCGTCTCATAGTGAAGCGGCGTTTCATCATCAACGCCCACCACTTGATTCCTACTCGCGGCCCCCAGGCTTCAGTCCGATGTTTACTCTCTCGCATTTCCCCAACCAAACCCGACGGGGTTCAATCCTATCTAGGGCACTGCTCATCGCCCTTCTAGTAGGGTACTGCTTCAAAGCGACCCTGCTCACCATCGAGTACCACCATGCAGGGCTCTGTACGCCTCCTCTCTCTAAACGACAGGATCCAACCGCTGCAATTGCAGACACCCACCCCCAAAGCCCACTAGCTCTAGGCAACCCACCTCCCTCCAGCAACACCCTCCCCAGCTTCGACCGCACGAACTTCACCAAGAGCCTCTCCCACCTCCTCTCCCTCCTCCCCGACTCTTCTCAGGCCCAAGACCTCACCAGCCCCATCACCAGCACGGGCGAGGCCAAGCTTCATGAACTCGGCCTCCGCACGCGTGTTTTCCGCTCCCTCTTCGCCGCCTGGGAAGCCGTGCACCTCGTCCCAACAGCCACCAGCCCCCTTACCCGTGATGACATCCTGCAAGTCCTCCAAGCCTACCCCTCTATCGCACACGACCTCCAAACCGACACCCCCACCCTAATGCACAGCTACGAGACCCTCCGCACCTTCTACACGCAGCTCTCCACGCGTCTCTTCGACTGGACGACCCCCTACTTCCCCTCGCACGCCACGCTGCACACGCAATTCCACAATGGCGGAAGAGGCCTTGTTCTGACCGCGGGCGACAAACAAGCGCCCTACGTGCTCACCTCCCTCCAATCCCTCCGGCAACAAGGTTGCACTCTGCCGGTCGAAATCATGTACCTGGGCGACGACGACCTCAGCGAAGACGCCCGCGACGCCCTCGAAGCGATCCCAGACGTCATCACGCGCGACCTATCCCCAATGGTATCCGACGCAGGCTGGACGCTGCGCGGCTGGGCGGCCAAGCCCTTCGCCATGCTGCTGTCCAGCTTCCGCGAAGCGATCTTCATCGACGCCGACGCGCTGTTCCTCACCAACCCGGCGGACCTGTTTCACGACCCCGGCTACGTCCAGACGGGGGCTCTCTTCTTCAGGGACCGGCTGCTCATGCCCGGGGAGAAGCGCGCGTGGCTGCGGCAGGTGCTGCCCGCGCCGTTATCGCGCGCGGTGCACCGCAGCCGCATGTGGACGGGCCAGAGCATCCACATGCAGGAGTCCGGCGTCGTGGTCGTCGACAAGTGGCGCCATTTCGTGGCGTTGCTGCTGGTGACGCGCCTGAATGGGCCGGATCGCGACGGCGATAAGGCCTCCGGCAAGGTCGGCGTTTATGATATGGTTTACGGTACGTCTCTCTCTCTCTTCTGTCTTTTGCCCTTGTGGCTTTCTATGGGGGTGTGGGAAGGGCCGGGCTTACGCATGAACAGGCGATAAAGAAACCTTCTGGCTGGGCTGGGAGCTGGTTGGGGATACGGACTACGCGTTCCACGAGGGCGCCGCGGCGGTCATGGGCACGGCGCAGGTGAACCGCGCTCGAGGGACGGGGAACGAGACTGCCGAGGAGGCTGATGCTGGGAGTGGCAATCCCGAAGACCCCCGGTTCCGCATCTGCGCGCCGCAGCTGCTGCACCTGGGGACGGACGGCCGGCCGATGTGGTTCAACGGGTGGCTGCTCCCGAACAAGTACTCGGACGACCCGCGCCAGCAGCCGGCGGCCTTCGAGGCGTTCATCACGGAACCGGCGGATGCGACGGCCGTGGGGGCGTGGAAGCTCCAGCAGAATAATGTCTGCTGTCTGGAGGCGGACCAGGTCGGGAGGTTCAGCGCCGCGGAGAAGACGGTGCTGGAGGGGGTGGTGCAGATTGCGAAAGAGGTGGGTGCTATTGGTGAGGAGTGACTTGGGATGTATGCATTACTTGAGTCAGAGTTGAGAACATAATCTATTTGCTCCAAGGGTTCTTCAAACTGGTACCGTAAATGTGAATTTGTGATGAAGACAGAACACCACCCACCCCTGGCTTAGGGTTTGGCATACCGCAGACTCTCCCACCACGACCTAACCTCAGTGTGCTCAACACGTCACCACCAGCCACTCCCCATCGATCCAAAACTCAATTCCTGATTACCTTTGTTCAAGGATCAACATTTCCGACGATACCCAAGATCTAGAAATCTCCAACCCACGGATTCACACCCCTCAAAAGAACGGTCTGCCGGCCAGATAAGAGTGGCAGTGACAAGGATCCTCGGCCCGCCGCCCCACCGGAGTCTTCACCCGGCCAATGGTCGCAGCATCGAGAGGGAATGATCCCATGGACTCGGGGAGTGCACTTTTAATCCAGACTGGGAAATGAGTTCTAGATTGCTCGATTTCTCTTCCGGGGGTTGGTGGTGACTATTGCGTGCGCGCGTTGGTGGAGAGGTGTAGCGGTCTTCGATATCGATCTCGACCTCATCGAGCTTGATGTCGATGTCGATTGCAATCTCCATGTCGATTGATGCCGCTCGGAGGACGACTTCACGCGTCATCACTGTCCTACTTCTGGAGAAGTAAGCTATGGATGCACCTCGCACGTTGACGTGTTTTGGCTCTGATTTGCCGGCTTGTCATTATCCACCAAATGGATGGCATAGGTGGCTGGCTGTCTGAGAACGGGTCTGGGCGTGTCTCCCATCCCTGAAGCGAGAATTTGATCAATCGAACTGGCATCATGAGGTCACTCGAGACAAGCTTGGGATCTTGGTCTTCGGGCCGGCTGGTGTCCGCGAAGATCTGTACAGTGCTAGGCGTGTCTTTGAGGGTTGAATGATGGCCCCCCTCTCTATGAGGAAACCATCAGAGGGGGATTGCGAGCCTGAGACAGAGACGTGGATCGCTTGGGCCTTGTACCACATACAAGGTAGGTAGGTAGCGTGCTCGACGCGGAAAGATCAAGATTCAACCAGTTGGTTTTGTTCTACGAACTTCTCCGCGGCCTTCACGCTCAAACTACAGTCTACGAACACGCGCTCCTACGTTTTACTTTATTCGCTAGCAGCATAATTGCAGATAACATTAAACCGAACATTAAACAAAACAGTAAAGTACAACACCATTCCCAGAATCCCTACCACATAAGCCATGTATCACACATCAAACACCCGAACCTAGTACAGCCAGTCGGCACACATGCCGGTGTGGCGATCGTAGAGGGCCCCGTCGGGGCACTCGGGCTCCCCGAAGCCGGTCGGGGGGCAGTACTCGAAGTTGAGGCAGTCGCCGCTCTCGAGGGCGCACTGCTTGCCGTTAAACACCTGGCCGGGGGGGCAGGCGGGCGGGGTGATGGCGACACACTGCTTGGAGGCGGGGACGAAGACGGTGCCGGGCAAGCAGTTGGGCAGCTTCTCGGCGACGCACTTGCGGCCGTTGAAGCGCATGCCGAGGGGACACTCGGGCTCGAAGGGGTGGGCGCACTCCTCGCCGTCGAAGACCAGGCCGTCGTCACAGAGGGGCTCGGTGCCGACGCAGGTCGTGCCGTCGAAGCTGGTGCCGGGGGGACACTCGGGTCGGTTCTCGGAGACGCACTCGCCGTCGACCAGGTGGTAGCCCGGCTCGCACTCCAGCGGCACCGTGCTGATGCACTTGCCGTTCACCCACTTGTGGTCCGCGGGGCAGGTCGGGTTCTTGCGCGAGACGCACTGCTTGCCGTCGAAGAGGGTACCCTTGGGGCACGTGGGGACGCCGACGATGCAGCCGCCGGTGGCGGAGAGGGTCAAGCCCGAGGGGCACTTGGGGACGCTGGTGGTGATGCAGTCGCCGGAGCCGTTGGGGACGCTGCCCGTCGGGCACGAGGGGGTGCTGGTGGCGACGCAGCGGGAGCCGTCGAAGACGGTGTCCTCGGGGCACGAGGGGAAGTGTGGGGTCACGCAATCCTCGCCGTCGAAGGTGCTGCCGTCCTCGGGACAGATGGGCTGCAGCTCGGAGACGCAGTTCTCGCCGTCGAAGGTGAAGCCGTCCTCGCAGGCGGGCAGTTCGACGCTGACGCAGATGGTGCCCTCGAGGCGGGTGCCGGGCAAGCAGTTGGGCTCTTCGGTGGAGATACACACGCTACCGGTAAGGGTCAGGCCGGGGGGGCAGGCAGGCTGCTCGGTCGAGGTGCAGACGCCGCCCTCGAGGACGTGACCGGGAGGACATTCGGGTTGCTCGATGCTGACACAGCGGTTGCGCTCGAGCTTGGAGCCGGGGGGACATTGCGGGATGCGCACAGGCTGCTTCTGGCAGTGCTGGCCCACCTTGGTGGTGCCGGGGGGGCACTTGCCGGTCTCATCAGTGTCAAAGACACAGACCTCGCCGTCCCAGATCATCTCGGAGGGACAGCAGCGGGCCGTGCCGGAGGCGAAGTCGGCGGAGAATTCGCTGCCAGGCGGGCAGGTGGCTTCCTCGGTCATGACACACTTCTTGCTCACCGGGTCGAGCTCACTGCCGGGAGGGCAGGCAGGCTTCTCAGAGGTGACGCACTTGCCGGTGGTGGGGTTGAAGGTGGTGTCGGGGGGGCACGAGGGACCGGTCTCGTCGACACAGACGCCATCCTTGCTGAGGACAGTGCCGTCCTCGCAAGTGGGGCGGATGGTCGAGACGCAGTTCTTGAAGTTGTCGTGAAACTCAGTGTCGGAGGGACAGATGGGGGGCTGGACGCTGATGCAGTTGCCGCCGCAGGTGATCAGGCCGTGAGGGCATTCGGGCTGCTTAGTGCTGACGCAAGACTTGCCATTGAACTTGTAGTTCTCCGGGCAGCCGGGGATCTGGGTGGATTGACAGACTTTGCCGTTGTACTCTTGCCCCGAGGGACAGGTGGGAGGGCCAGCCACACAGGTCTTGCCCTTCAGCACGGTGGGAGGAGGACAGATGGGGAGTTCAGTCGCGATACAGATGCTGCCGTTGTAATCGCTGCCATCGGGGCAGATGGGCTTGATGGTCGACACACACTTGTCGCCCTTGCGAACAAAGTTCTCCGGGCAGTTGGGAACACCCAGGACACAGTTCTTGCCATCGAACTCGGTTCCCTCGGGACAACACTTGACCAAGCCAGAGGCAGGGTCCTGCAAAGGACGGATGTCATCCAGAGTGTACTTGGTCTTGCCGGGCAGCTTGGCCTGAACCTGGGCAGCACTCAGGGCCACCAGAACGGCCAACAAAGACCCCAACTTAGCCATGATGTGTGGCTGTGATGGGAAAGGTAGTTGGAGACAAAGGATGAGAGGATGAGGGTGATGAAAAGCAGGAAGCTATCGGGAAGTGAGGGTATTTATACCACGACTGTCCTCGTAGCGACGATAGATTCTCTCTGGCTTCTCCGCGCCCAGTCCTCATGTATCAATACTGATCGGATTTGCATCTCCGCCTCAGTTCAGCTTGAGCCACTCAATCAAGTGGATCAGATGCCGATCACTCCGGTTCTAGGAATGGGGAGCTGGCGGTGTACGTATTTGTCTCTGTGTACAAGCGATGAGATCCTACACCGATCAACTAGTCCAACTACAGTACAGGGAGCAGGTGGATAGCTGTGGGCTCAGCTGAAGTGCTGAACTAAAGTCAGCTCCGCTTGAAGTAGAGTAGCATTTTCGAACAAAAGGCAGAGTGGGGACGGGACGTCGGTATGTGATCTGTGATCGACAGAGAAGGGCGCGCATGGAGGAAAAAAGTCCCGACACGATTGACACTAAATTCGATGTGATCGCTCGGATTCTGCAGCTCAAGTTTGAGTGTCTGGTGTGTATTGAGGGTATTGAGGGTATTTATTGATGGTATTGAGGGTATTGAATGCATGACAGTGGGGCGTCAATCGCAGGCGGGGCGGAGCGAACCTGCCTTAGCGCCAGCCAAACCCTCATTAGCAATTGATTAGACAGAGTTAGCTGCCAAACACCCCAACCCCCGAGATGCTCCGCGCGCATCGATCGCCTCGGTTAATCTGAGCTGACGAATTTGGTCATTGCTCCGTGAGACGTACAGCAGATGTGGGGATCTCCAAGGGATCAGCATCTGAAGTATACGTACTGTGGAAGTCCGTGTATTGTCGATGGCCGTATGAATGTGACTGGAGTCTACTACCAGCCCTCTTCGTGGTTAATGGCAGAGGAAGACCCATGGGATCTTAGGGCAAGTCGAACTGGAAAAGCCTTGCTTTTGTGAAATTGCGCGCAGGCTTCCACAGCCTATGACATGTTGTCTCAGTCCCTATAAAGTAATCACCGAACACCCTACCCACCTACCACAACCAATTCATCTTTCTTTTCTCTGAGTTCAACCCCATATCTGTGCTCTTTTACCGTGCAGCAAGAGGACGGCGATATGCTTTTCCAAGCCACCCTTTTTGCCGCCTTACTAGGCACCACGGTGGCCAGCAGCGGCTCCAACTCCAAATGTCTATCCTCCAACACGGTCGGGACTGCCAACTACCAGCTCTGCTGTCCTGAAGGCCAAGGCTCCGGAAAAGGAACTGTGGGTGACTCGGTCTTCGAATTCGCCTGCGGTCAGTATTACGCCGGCAAAAGTGGCTCCGGCACGCAGCACCGACAGGTGAACAGTGCGAAGGACTGCGCCCAGCTCTGTTCGAGTCCGGACTGTCCCGGAGCCTCCTGGCACAGCACCGGAAAGAAATGCTTCGTGTTAGGCAGCGGAAACACAGACTACGCGCCCTACTCGCCGGCAAAGGATTGGATGGTTCTGACCAAGTCTGCGGAGACCCCTGAGGACCCCGACCCGGAGGAGGACTGCAAGGAGTTTATCGATGCAGCCAAGGAAACTGCCGCTGCGCAATGTACCTCGGAGAAGGAGCAACAGAAGAAGGAGTGCGAGAGCAACAAGGCCAGCGCTCTCACCGAGGCCAAGGCTCAATGCGAAGCCGAGAAGGCTCAACTCAAAGAGCAAGCCGCCACCGCGGCAAGCCAATGTGAAACGGACAAGGCCGCTGCGCTGGAGCAGTGCACGGCCGAGAAGGAGCAGGTTCGTGGGGAGGAGAAAGCCAAGTGCGAAGCTGAGAAGGCTGAACTCACCAACGGCGCCACCGCCAGCGCAGAGCAATGCGAGGCCGACAAGGCTGCGGCGCTCGCAGGCGCCAGCCAACAATGTGCGACCGAGAAGGAGCAGCTTCGACAGGAGGGAGAAGCGCAGTGCAAGTCTGAGAAGGAGGCGGCCAGCTCTCAGTGCGACAAAGAGAAGAATGAAATTCGCCAGCAGGGCGACAGCAAGTTGCAGCAGTGCCAAGCTGATAAAGACAGCGCTGTCGCCAATGCCAACGCCCAATGTGCCACGGAGAAGGATCAGCTTCAGTTGCAATGCAAGTCCGAGAAAGACGCCGCCGCCTCTCAATGTGAGAAGGAGAAGAATGAGATCCGCCAGCAGGGAGAAAACCAGCTGCAGCAGTCCAAGTCCCAGTGTGAAGCCGAGAAGGCAGGCCTCCAGCAGAAGATCAAGGAGTTGGAGGCAAAGGCCTCGTCGGTGGGCAGTGGCTTGGCTGGTGGTCAGTGGCTGTCGGTCGATGAGAAGTGTCGCAGCAACAGCTGGAGAAGTCTCTGCGACGGCACCTGTTCTCAACGACAGTTTACCCTTGGGGGTGTGGATTTCCAGGTCAAATGTAATGTCCGCACCAACGGGGCGGTTGAAGAGATCTGGTGGTACCGCCAATCGATCCTGGAATGTGCTGAAGCATGTGCCTTGAATCCCCGTTGCTTGGGAGTGGGATGGAGGAGCTTCGGCGGTGAGCCTGAGAAGGGAGTAAGTAGCCCTAAATGCCCTTGAAGTTCTTGAGGTTCTTGAAGTTTCTGGGATTGTCGCAGTGTGCTAACATCAAAACCAACCAGGTCTGCCATGCTAATATCAAATGGGATCATATTTACCAGCTCGTCAATACTGCCTTCCCTCACTCCGGTGGTGAGCATCTTATCTACGCCAAGGGTCGCATCACTCCGACGGGAGCTCCTGGCACCTGAGAATGCTAAAGGACGTTTACTAGCCACATGTTTGTATCCAAGGAAGCCAATTCCTTCCTAGATTTCAATTTTATGAATTTATCAAGCCGAAGTGAGAGTCCATTGTAACATACTGGCATTACTCCCGACCATCGCCACGATTCCTCCTGAAGCCTGGAGACACACGCAGGGCAAGGGAAGCACCGTACAGTACACGTTGTGGAAGATCGAGTACGGTACGGTGACGGTATAGTAAATCTGATCGGGAATCTTCTTCCATAGCTGAAAAGATAAGGGGGGCCAGGAAGATCGTCGGTGGGGTTCGCGCGGTTTGCTCGGAAAAGTCACCTTCGTTCCATACCGGAGTGCGTATGAGCGATACGTAGCTCTAGAATTGATTCTAGGTTGAGCTTTACCTTTCAGGAAGACCTCGATTGCCGAAGCAGACTTTCTTTTCCTCTTTTCATTTTTTTTTTTTATTTTTGCTTGGTTAGTATCCACAATGGAAGGTTCTCAGTGTTCACCGCTGTTCATTGTATCTGGAGCTAGTAATGAAATCTGGTACGTTTCGGCACCGGCCCGTCTTTTCCATAACAAAACATGGTTTGCAAGCTGTCATTTTGCCCATCACTGGACTGGGTAAAAACGTAATTCCCATGACTACCTCTACCGTCGGTCAGGTCTGTATGGAGACATATATGGAGAATGTCCAGAACAGGTAAAAAGCCTCATTGACCTGCAAGACGAACCTAGCCCCAGTCGGAAGATCCCACCCCACCGAGCTTTAGGCGAGATCGCCCGGAATTATACCGCAGTTTGAGACATGGGATTGCTGAGAAGCTGCACACTCGCTGGGGAAGATGTGGAGCTGAGAGATGGTGTTGCTTTTTCGATCTTTCTTCCTCAGCTGCTGTCTAAGGCCAATCACGGAGCTACGGAGTAGAAACGATCGATCTACAACCCTCTTGCTCTTTTCTTCGACTAGTGCGGGAGCTGTCCTGAAAACCTGACTGCAGATCACCCTGTCGCTCGGTCCTCGAGCTGCATCGGACTGCACTGCGGAGATCGCCGGCTAGGTGGGAGGTGACGTCTACCTTCGAATCAGCATCTTTTGATCGCGACCGTGGCTATCAGAGCTTGGAGGTCTCCGTGCTCGTGACAAGTGAAATCGGTCGGGAATCAAAAACAAATAGGAAAATCAAAGAAACAAATAAAACGAAAAAGAGAAGAAAAGAGGTGCTAACCACAGCATCCTTTCACCACAGGTAGACTACCCGATCCACTTCTGTACTCTGAGATATACAGTATCAAGGCTCTGTACCGGAAGTGTTCGAGGTAGAATCAGAAGAATAAGCGGTCATTCCGCTAGTCCGGTCGGAGGAGTTTACAAAAACTAGCTAAACTACTACTGATGTTGATTGCATCCTGGATCCTGTTCTATGGACAGCTCACCTAAGGTACTCATTTTTTACATCATCCCACTCCTCACGCATTTTCTCGAGTATCCATGGTTGGAATGTACTACCTAGTAGTAGTACGGTAGACCCGAACTGGGCAAAATCCCCATCATGGCCCTACTCCTTACCTTGGATTGCAGATAACCTCAGTGACCATTCTCCGCGCTCCACTGGTGGAAGTACTAACAGATAGCAAAGCAGATCTGGCTGTGAAATCTATTGCACCCATCATGTTATATAGCATATATGAGAACATTTCTGCTTAACGAGTAGAGTTTTACTGTATCGCAGGCTTTCTAGAAGGCACTACCCAAATGGGGCTGTATATCAATCTCGGAGACTTGTAAAGCTCGTGGCCACGGAGGGTACCGACCCCTGCAGCTTATCATTGTGAACATGCACTGCACTCTTCAATACCTTGAATGTCGTAGAATCTATGAATGGTTATTTCGCAATATGATTAACGAGGTTATATCTAAGGTTGTAACGTTTAATTTACGTTGACACCACAATGTCTTCCAGCCTGGAAGGTCATCGATTAGGTATAGACGTAGTTTCGGTTTCTCGTCCTCCTCTTCAGAGCGTCCAGACCCCAAACTCATATTCCAAGTGGAAGAAGCACTCGCATATCCGAGAAAGGGGCATTCTGTTCAAATCTCACGGATACGATCACCAAGATATCGGCGAGTTTCACACACAAGTGCTTATCTATCTCAGCGCTAATGTGACGTATACCTAAAAGCTCCTCCCGCCGCATCAGCCAATGCTCAGTGCTTGATAAAGACAGGCCAACTGATTCACGGTGAATGTCATTCAAAATATGGCTAACATTCACTAATGGTCAAAATGGTATAGGCCATAACCACAACCAGGACCGTGCGTCATCGGGAGTTCTGTGGATTGATCCAGTACCCACGCCAATGCAATATCTCGTTATTCGCTCGAAGAAGAATGTCCCACGTTGTCCTTAGTCGCTCCAAGGCTGCAGCCTGTCATGCTAGGTCCCATTCTGACGAGCCCGCAGTGGAGCGTGAGCACAAAGCTAGCAGATTGGTTTGTATGCGATGTGCTTGGAGTCAGGCAGCGTGCTTTCTTCGTGGCTAGTCGCAGAAATGGTCGATCAAGCATTAAACATCGTGATACAATACGTGGTGCACGACGACAACCCCACACGCTATCCTAAGATTGCTCCTCCGCGCCCCACTCATTACCTGCCCCATAAACAAGCAGTGTTCCCTCTTCAGCCCTACACTGGACATCGGCTGATGGTCTGGCTGCGCTCAATTAGCCAAGTCTCTACCGTACAAAGACCTCAAGTAGGTATATTTCATGTGACTTACCTTTTGTCTAGTCATCTATGAGACGGGTACTCCGCGACAGAGTGAAGACTTTCTCCAATCGAGTGCAAGCAACAAAGATAGACTTTCCTCTTTATCGGGATTGTCTACTCAGAGTCGAGGAAATCCAGGATGAAGACGTCTATATAAACCACTCACCGCTGCCACTATTCAAAGCTTCAACCTTCCAATCTTAATAAGGTGTAAACTACCCCCCTATTGAGTCTCCAATCATCAACCTCTGCTACAACTGACATCATGGACGGAATCATGGCAGGTCGAGTCCGGGAGCTCGGCTTTGGGGCGCGGCTCATGGCACGCCGGGAGTTCTGGATCATCCACGCGCTGGTCAACAACCCCGACAAGACCCCAGAGGAGGCCATCCAGGAACTCCTCCGGGAGCGCAACAGCCAGTTCCAGCAGCGGCGAGATTCCACCCGGACCTACGTGCGGGACCGGCTGAACCAGCAGCATGCCTTTCACACGATGCAGTCGATCTGCGAGCTCGCGTATCTCCTCCCTGCCGACGAGCAGATCAAACTATTGCAACTGGTCACGAGGCTGCAACGGAAGGCGGTCCCCGAGTCGGTCATGCGCGGTGGCATCGTGAAAGTCGCGTTCGCTGACCGGATGTGGCTCGATCTCCCCTGCCTGCGCGAGTACATCAGCCACCGGTTCTCATTCGCCCCGCTGGCCATATTCAAGGGGTTCCCGACGTGCCGGTGCACCGGGATGCAGAACCGCGCGCCCTGCGGGGATCACTGCCGGGACTACCCGCCGCAGGAGGTGCAGGAGTGGGAGAATCGCAACGCCTTCATCGCCCAGCTGACGAATTGTATCCCGCGGCTCGGCCATCGCATGGACTTCACCCGGTTGGGGTTCCGGCTGTGCGTCCGCGCGTTCGAGAATGCAGACGTCAACGCGCTAGAGGAAGAGGCCGTCCGCGCCGCTTGCTTCTGGTTCGCCCTCGCGGGGAATCCCATGTGGGACACCTGCGTGGCCGGGGATCAAGTGGATGAGCCGGAGTCTGAACAGCCAAAAGCCTTCGACCGAGCGCGCTGGGCCGGCTGGAAAAATGCGATCAACTCCTTCGGGGTGCACTTGGTGCGGCGAAGTACGCAGGCGCTGATGAAAGATGCATTGGCAGCGATGGACGAGGCGGAGCGTGCACAATGAACAATGGCATTGTGTGTTGGGTGGAGTCGTGGAGTCATGAAGTAGAACAAAGAAGCCCTCTCTCACCTCCACACCTCTGTCCGCATGTCCAACACCCATGCAACGCACAAGTGACTCCATCGTCGCTATTTTGATATTCGGAATGAAGGTAATTCCATCAATAACACCTAACAAAAGATACTTTTGTTTTAATTAGCTGATTCAGCCAACATCTTCGTCCACAATCCACCTTGAAAAGAGGCTTTATCACTCCCAACGCTAATAGCTGGAGATTTCCGCTATACCTCAAAGCCACAGCAAGCCTCAATTCACACAACCACAAAACCTTGCGAAGCCGACAAGATCAATGTCAACAAAGCTCTACCTCCCTAAACTTATAAATATCTCATTGACCCCAAGTCCTTCCATCCCTTTCCCTTTCCCCCTCTCTTATCAGCTCATTTCTCGCAACGCCTAAGGCATACGAACAACCTTGTAAACCCACCTTGACGGTAGTTCTGCGCGCGAACAGATCCAAGCACAAACCCAGATTTCCAAGAACAAGAACAAGAACAAGAACAAGAACAAGAACAAGCAAACAGAAGGTGACCCTTTCTCTGAACTGCTCCTCTCAGGCTAACACTACCTCCCTCGAATACTCATAGCCGTCAGCTACAACCACAGCCACAACCACAACCAGACCCCCACAGGAACTCAGCCATCCAGGAGCCGGCAAGATGGAATGCTACGGGCTCACGCGCACCCCGCACTACGGCTACGAGGCCTACCGGCATCAGAACTCGTCCCCGCGGTCGACCTGGGAATCGCTCATCAGGGGTTACTTCCCGCCGCACGAGGGGTTCGTGATCAAGACGGGCAGCCCGGAGCCGGTGCACAGCGCGCAGGCGCACGGCGGGCAGTACGAGGGGCGCGGGTACGACTGGCTGACGGTGCACAGCGCGGGCACGGGGACGCACCTGACGCTGATCGGGGGCCACAGCGCCTTCAAGGGCACGGACTGGCCGTACCTGCTGTCGATGTGGCCGCACAACGACGCGCGGCACCCGCGCTTCTCCTTCGCGGGCATCGTCCAGGGCGACTGGGTCCGGTTCTACGTCCACCACCCGCAGTACGGCTTCTGGGCCCTGGGGCTCCGCGGCCTGGGCGCGAAGTCCGCCTTCGACAACCGCACCGACGCGTCCTGGATCCACCAGTTCCTGGCCCAGTTCCGCCTCTTCGCGCGCACCCCCGAGCGCATCTGCGAGACCTCCCTCCAGGAGTTCGGGTTGCCGTATAATCGGCTGTCCGCGGACGGGCGGTGGCGCGCCCTCGCGGATTATTGTTTGCCGCAGCGGGCGATGACGTTTTGATGCTTGTGTGGTGAGGTCACGGCCATGAAGGTGGGTAGAGTTTGTAATGGATGTGTCTTGTCTGTGTTTGTATTCGGAAGAGGTGTGGCTGGCCGGCAAAGGTATAGAGCGTGCCTGGATTGCACGCCGCCGGCTGAGAAAAGTTCTGTTACTGGTTCAAAAGTTCTTGGAAATCCCCTGGAAGAGGGAAGTATAGTGTGTGGGTATCTGGGTAAACGCAACGCACTGGGTGTCTCTCTAATTTCATTGCAGTTCATATTGTGTATCTCTGTACATACGTATAGTTGAGAATGAGATTTTTTTTTCTTTTCTTTTCTTTTCTTTTCTTGTTTCTCTCTTTGCCGTTCCTGTCTTTGGGATACTGCTACCCCTTCTCTCGCAGGTGGTAATTCAAACACTCTAGTAGGTAGGAAACTCTAGTAGGTAGGAACAGTTACACACCGGATTTTTCTAATTCAGCTATGCCCAAACAAACAACAGACAATCTACTACACCATCTCTACATTCAAGCGAACAAGGTATGCACCCCACCCATCCCTACCAACTGCCCAAACAATCCCGACTGGGCGGAGCTTGTCCCCAATAAAGTGATTACTAACCCACCCCCAAAGCCCCAAGTCCGCCCGCCAAGACAATCCATACAACCACGGCACAAAGAAACATAGTATTCCATTCATTATCCATTATTCATATGTCACACACTCAAAGACCCGCTTTCATCCTCGTTGACACCCTCTCTATCTCTTCTCTCCCCGGTTCCTCACATCTCAAACCCGATCCCCGCGCCGTGGTCGGGCGACTTCAGGATCCGGTCGTACTGCCGGTCGGCCATGAAGTCCGCGCGGGCGATCTCGGCGGGGCTGGGGTGGTGGGAGTCGCGTTTGCCGTGGTGGTCGTGGTGGGTGCCTGGAGCAATTATTGGAGGTTAGCAGGGTGAGTAGAGGAGCGAGGGGATAATGTCGTACCTTCGTGGGCTACGGCTGGCGGTGCAGGGGCCCTCGGGTCGTGGGGTTCTTGTTGGTGGTCGTGGGGGTGTTGCTGCTGTGGCTGCTCGGGTACTTGGGCGTGGTGGTTGTCCTGGGAGGGGTGTTTCTTGTGGTGCAGGTGCAGGGCGTCTTCAGCTTTGTGCAGGAAACTCGACATTGTGGTGGTCGGTATAGTGTAATGTGTAGCTTAGTGCAAAGAGACTTCGGTTTGATGTAACTAGGTGTTGTAAGGTTCGAGATTAAGATTTCTTGGCTAGCTGGGCGTTCGACCTGCCATCCGACGCATTCTTTATACCCGGAAGGGGTATCGGGAACATGACGTAAATCCGATAACGTGCTGGCTTCAGTAAAGATATGGGATGATGTCCCCGGCTACTATTTTCTCCGCTGCCCATTTGGCCTTGTTGACGTCATCGCGGGGATGTGGTGGTTGCAACGTCGAATGAGGCCTGATAGACGGTTCGGAACGCGCGGCATGGAGGCAGCAAAGAGTCCGACTGCAAGCAGTTTCCCCTCCAGGCTGCCCGTGAACCCACAGTGGCCTACACAAGACAGACACAGACAAGACACTTTGTTGACCGGCCCGTCCCCGAACCCCCACTAACCCGCATTAGGCCGCCCGCGGTTTCCAGAACAACCCTCGTTTAGCCGGGCTCTCCTCGACTCCTCTTTCCATCAACCTGCATCAACTAAGTTACCTGGTAGTGACAGGAGTACCCTATAACTTACGGCCACCCAACCACCCACACCCATCAAGACCAACCCCAATATGAACACCCCAGAAGCAACCCCTCCCCCCTGGACCCCCTTCGCCATCCTAACCCCCCGCCTCATCCTCCTCCCCACCCCCCTCGCCATCTCCTCCCCCACCTACCGCAAACTCTACGCCTCCCTGCACGCCAACCCCGAATTCTGCACCATGGGCTTCGGCGCCCACTTCCCGGTCCGGCAGTGGACCGACCCCGAAACCCGGGAGGTGATTGAAACCCGCGACATCGCGCGCTGCTGGCACGGCCGCGGGATGGGCGACTGCGCCGTGGGGCTGCGGCCGCCAACGCTCCCCATCCCAGCGGAAAGCGCCAGCAAGGATATGGATATCACCATCCTAACCGGCGAGGAATTCAACACTCTACCAATGGGTAACCTCGATGCAATAGAGTGGGTAGGCTACGCCGGCGTCCGCGACGGCACGACGACCTCGATCCCGCCCCGCGAGGCCGGGGACGCGCCGCTCCCGCCGTGGACCGAGATGGTCGAGGTGCGCTACGGGGTGGCGCCGGAGCATTGGGGCAGGGGGATCGCGGCGGAGGCGGCCGCGGCGGTGATGCGGTGGGCGGTGGCCGCGCGCGGCGTGCGCCGGTTTATCGCCGAGACGGAGCGGCCGAATGCGCGCAGTGCGAGGGCGCTGGAGAAGTTGGGGTTTCGGCGGAGTGGGACGGGGTATTGGAAGGAGCCGGGGGAGGTGGAGTGGGAGTTGGTGGTTGAGGAGGATACGGACTAGGTAAGGGTGGGGGGGGTTCTTTGGGTTAATTCTTGGGGGAGGAGGAAGGGGAGATAGGGGTTGGGACTGGAATGAGGTGGAAGATGGGCGGGGGAGTGGACTGTATTAACTGTACATCGGCTACCAGGAGATTGAGGCTACTTTTCTTTCTTACTGGCTAGAGACCACATGCGAAAAGAAGTAGTGATTTGGGTATGCGGGAACAAGCGGTGGTTATCTCGGTCCCGCAAGGAGCCAAAAAGAAAAAGACAAAAAAAACTGAGTGCATCATCCGTGAATCGAACACGGGCCTCATCGATGGCAACGATGAATTCTACCACTAGACCAATGATGCTGGTTGCTTGGTATACCGCAAGCAAATTTATCCTATGAACCTAGCACAGCATACTACGAGTAAATGAGCCGAGGGTCAAAGCCTCAGGCCGCACCAAAGTCCAAGAAGGTGAGGAGAGTACGAAACTAGTAGAAAATGGAGGCGAAATGGGGGGAAAAGAAAGATGGGATATAGAACTATTCTTCTTTCGCGTATCTGACCTCATTGTGTGCTAATTGTTGGCAAGGCAGGACACTTTTCTTGGACATGAAAGCATTGCGGGTTCGTGCTAATATATATATATATTCTGCGCCAGCCACAAGGCCGGCTCTACGCTGCTACCTTCTACCAGTAGTCCACTTCTACAACAGCACAATCACCACAACGAAACACGTACGGCCATTACATTAGAAGAATAATCCCATCCGAAGAAAGACGGCCCGCGTCATCTAATACAACTCCAGAAACAAACCCCTCACCTCCTCCGGATCCAGCTTCGCCAGCGAAGCCACCTCGAACCGTTTCGTCGCCACATACAGATCAATAATCCTTCTCCCGATCACGTTCGCTAGTCCCCCCGCATCCGCGTGCAGCACATCCAACGCCTCCTCCATTCTCTTGGGCAGCGGCTCCCCAGGGTCCGCGTCTGCATTCACCGGATCCCCCAGATCCGGCCAGACCAACGGTTCCCGCCCCTCCAGCCCCAGCAACCCGGCCCCGATGGCTGCCGCCAGCGTGAGATACATATTAGCCATGGCATCTACACACCTGATCTCCCAGCGGCCGGGCTCGAGCTTGCGGACCGGGGTGAGCCGACACTCGGTGCCCCAACCCACGGCATCGGCGCCGCCGACGAAGGGCTTCAGCCGCTCGTACGAGACATCCTGAGGCAGACAGAAGGCGCACAGGGCGGGGAGCCGCTTCAGCATGCCGGCGAGAAAGGCGGCCTCGCGGTCCGGCGCGGGGGTCGGCTGCAGCGAGAGATGGGTGTGTTGGCCGTTGGCCAGCGGGTCGCCGGTCACGGGCTTGGGGACCATGGTGACGATGCACCCCAACGGCGCGAAGGTGTCCTTCAGGTAGCTGTGCACCAGCAGCAGCTGGTCGACCGCTTGCATGGGCGGTTTGGGCCCCAGCGCGAACTCGTACTGGCCCCGCACGCCCTCGGTGTGGATCGCCTGGATGTCGACCCCGCGCGCCTGCAGCTGCAGCACGCACTGCTCGATGTGCGTGTAGCACGGGTCGCGCAACCCGGCCACGGAGAAGAGGCCCCAGCCCCGGCTGTAGCGCTCCAGCTTGCCCGTCTCGGGGTGTGGCTTCATGATCACGAACTCGACTTCAAATCCCACGAGGAAGGAGAGGTCCCACTGCGTCTGCGCCTGCTCGAGCACTCGGGATAGTGTGTGACGCGGACAGAGCGCCTGCGTCATCGGTTGCCCTGGCAGGGTGTAGTCCAGCGAGCAGAGCACCTGCGCGCTGCCGGGGCTGATGGTCGGATGCAGCGTCGTCCAGTCCGGCACGAGCCAGAATTGCGCGTCCGTCGGGGTGCCGGGGATGAGGTGGTTGTCGACGGAGCAGGTCAGCGCCAGCCCGGTCGCTTTCATGGGCTTGCCTTCGGCCAGTTGGGCGATGGCGGTGTCCAGCAGGACCACGCGGGCCCGCTGGACGCCTGAGTAGTCCTGCCATTGCCAGCGCAGGAATTTGATGTCCGGGTGTTCTTGTCGGAACTGCGTGAGAATCTCGGCGGCAGGTGAGGGTGTGGTTGTCGCCGTCGCGGGCGGGGTAGCCAGTGACCGCGACAGGAAATTCATTTTGTGTTGGAGAGGCCCGTGGGAGGCGGACTAATCGTGGAAACAAAAACTGCAGAGTCAAGTAAGTGCAAGATGAAGATCGTCTGTCAGAAGACCCTTTGAGCTTATAATAGGATTATCCTCCGTATGTCCGTGAGTGAGAGGGCATGGTCTGGAATGTGAATGTGAATGTGAATGTGAGTGTGAGTGTGAGTGTGAGTGTTTCTGCAGAGTGCAGCAGACACGGCCCCTTTTGCTGCAGATCGACCGTGTATGCGGCGTGTACGGAGTATCAAGGATCGGCTGTCGTCCAGCTGTATCGCGATCGATCCACCTCGGTGGGGCTGTCTGCCTTAGCGGTAAACAATCGGAGGATTTGTGTCCCCGATTGACAGTGTGACACCGATTGTGACAGAATTGTGACACGGTGATCATGAACTATTGTCTTGGCTGCATAAAGTGGCTTGACGATCGTCCGGTGCATTGCCCATTTCCGTTGAGGTGCAACCCAGTCACGGGTTGATGTACCCTAACTTTCCCTGCTTGAGGCCACCGAGCCTTGCCCGACGCAGTTCTGGAGCTCAGACGGTGCAGTGATAATTCGGACGTCATTCCGTCTGTGCTCAGGTCTGTTTCTCATGGTTTTCGGTCTGGTCGCATTCCCACCAGCATGGCGCACGAACAGACTCCGTTGTTGGGCAAGGGCGACCGGCCGCCGACCGGCAAAGCCTACTTCAGTAGGATTTTGGCAGGACTAGTTGGTGGGTGATGGCTGAATTTGTGGTGTACTCTTGGAAGCTGACCGGAAGTCGTATTGCAGGTGTCTTCCTCGCGAGCGCCGACAAGTCCATTCTGTTGGCCACTCAAGGCGAGATCGCCTCGTCGCTGCATTCCCCGTCCAGTGCGTCGCTGCTGCTGGTGATTTACAATGTGGGATTCTGCATCGCATTGCCGGTGGTTCGTAGCCCTTGCAAGTTTACAATCAGAAAGAATGAAGGTTGACAGCAAACAATCTAGTACGGCTTCCTGAGCGACATCTACGGGTGTCGGCGATTCCTTCTTTCGGCATACGGCCTATTCGCGGTGGGATGTTTGATCTCGTACGTCGTGCATCGAGACTTTAATATTCGTTCTGGCCAATAGCTCATGCAGAGTCCACAGTGGCATCTCCGATACTCTATGGCCCTTTGTTCTGGGTCGCTTGATCTCAGGGATGGGGGGTGCAGGCATGACCGATCTCCTCTCCGTCCTGGTGAACGGTAAATCTCGCGATATCGGGGAACAAGGGCAACGCTGACGGGATACGAAGAAATGTTCGACATCACGGAAGTCGCATCAGTGCGGAGTTACATCATCGCAGCCGGTATCGTCGGGCAGGGCTGTGGAGGACCGCTGGGGGCGCTGGTCGCCGACCTGGTCGGTTGGAGATGGTACGCTCTGAGCCTTGGGCTAATCAACCCCAGTGACTGGACTGACGCTGCTACCCAGGTCTTTGATCGGTCAAACCCCTATTGCGATGCTCTGTCTGGCTCTCGCGCAGTGGCAGTTCTCTACCATCCCGGCCGCTGAAACACACTCGGGCAAACACCTGAGCCTGTGGAACTTCGATTACTTGGGAGTGGCCAGCTTTTTCATCCTGGTCACGTCGTTCATCCTAGCCACCACCGAGGGGGGAATCGCATATCTCTCGTCTCAGACTCCAGCTTTGCTGGCGGTGTCGGGGATCTTTCTCGTGGTGTTCGTGCTGATTGAGCGGTTTGGGACCAACCACCCCGTCATCCCCCCTTCGATCGTCTGTTCCCCGGGGCTCGGGGCCATCTTCGGCGGCCAGGTCATCTACTTCGCCACCGTCACCACCGTGAGTCTAGCCCCGATCCCTACCACCAGTCCCCCCAAAACCGACTCTAAGCATGTCCACAGATCCTGAATAACCTCCCCGCCTACCTCTACCGAATCGACCACCTCTCCAACTCCGCCATCGCCATCCGTATCTGGCCCGCAGCCCTCGGCCTGATCTCCGGCTCCATCATCGCCGGCAAAGCCCTCAGCAGGTGAGCACCCACCGCACCACTCACACGCCCCAACAACCCTAACAAAAAGACCACAGAAACCTGCAATCCCGCAAGCTGTCCCTCATCGCGATCCTCATCACTCTTGTCTCACTCACCCTAATGGTCCTCCGCTGGCTACACGGCATCCAACCCCTGGAGGTCCTGTACTGCTTCCCGTGGGGCCTCGGCGGCGGACTCTTCCTGTCGGCGCAGTTCATCGCGCTGACGATCCGGGCGCCCGCTGCGCAGCTCGCCAGCGCCATCGCCGTGTACCATCTCGCGCAGCAGGTGGGCCAGATCGTGGGGACGAGCGTCAGCGCCGCCGCGCTGCAGTGGGTGTTTCGGGCGCGGGTGGCCGTGGGGTTGGGGGAGGTGGCGGAGGAGGGGAAGCGGGAGGTATGTTCCTTCTCCTTATCTGAATCCCATTCGATCCTGTGTTCGGGTTGTGTGTCGATCGGGGTTGCTGATTCTATCGACAGTTGATCGAGCATATCGTCCAGGATTATAATTTCACCACCACGCTGCCGCGGGCGGTGCAGGTGGCCGTGCAGGAGAGTTTTATTGAGGCTTATCGCATTATTCCTGGTATGTTGCCCTCCCCTCCTATGGGTAGATAGTGGTTCTAACTATGAGCATAGCATCCGCTCTAATTCTCTCTGCGATCGTGGGTGTGATCGTGCTGTTCCCGAGGAAGGAGAAGGTCGAGGCATGAGGGGTTTTTTTTTCAACCCAGTCACCCCCAGTATGGATATTGTCTCACAACAACGTAGGTGATGAGAACAAGTACCGGGTACGAGTAATATGTAATGCCAAATTGTCAACAACTGTTATAGTGGGAGAATCAAAAAGTATGGTCCTTTGATCTCAGAGAGTTTCCAGGAAATTCGAGAACAAAAATCTACACCGCTCTCTGGGCTAGAACTGTGGAATTCTTCTACGGAGTCGATAGACTTGAACGAACCGTGTAAGTAACCGAAGGAATGGAAAAAGATCGGCCATCCCCCGCTTGCCTCCTGCTGATTGGTCGATCTGGATCTACCCAGTTTCCATGGTTCGAACCTTGAATTTCTCTTACATGAGTACTGTACTAGTACCTCATATCATATCTAGACTATCTTGGAAAAGGAACAGCATCACGGAAAAGGGGTGAAGCTGCAGCGCACTGACACATACTGACTGACACGATCAGCGCGAATGATGCAAGTCTAGCGTCAAAGTCTTCAGCTTACAGGCGGAGTTCGTGGCGCGGACTCCGCTCGCCTTCCAATTGACTAATTCTGACAGCACCGGATGACCCTTTCGTGACTCTCGCCATGCATCATCCTGGCGATTCTGGGCCACGGCACGCGTCATGATGCAGCCTCCCCGCTTACGACCTTGAAGCTGAGGAGGTGATGCATCCGCTCTGCATGACAGTCGATCACTTTTCAGTGTTCAGTGTCCACTGTCCAGTGAAGGAGGGGGCGTGGCCTGTGGCGTGCGTAGTGTAAAATACCCGTACGTATCGCAGAGGCAGACATCTTCGGGGATCCACTTTTCAGCTCTTCGGGAGAATCGCACGGATCTGGTTGTTGGGAGGTCGATCTTGGGGTTTGCACGGTTCTTGGCAGGGAGCTACTCCGTACGTACAGTCCGTACGTATGGTATGGTTTGGACTTGGGTGGGGATTTGAGGGTTGCGTTCTCTTTCCTTTTTTTTTTTTTTTTTTTGGCGGAAGAACGTCATTGGGGTTACGGGGTGCGGGGTTCAAGGGGGCTTGCGTTTGCGCTGTACTACGCTGAACATGTGTTCTTTGAGGATGCGTAGCTGAAAGCTTGCATGTACATACTGGATGTACTATCCTCTTGAGAATTGTGTATCAAGAATTGAGTATGGACGGGAGGTGATGAATCCCTGACTCGATGAAGCAAGTCTTTGGCTCACAGGCATTACATGGAAATCCGAGACCCACTGCCCTATCCCCCACTCATTCACTCACTATTTACTCAGAGAAGTTAGCCTACATTAGTATTCCCTCATTCTCATTGATACGAGTAACTACGTACTGGGTAACTCACCCACAATGCCCGCAGATCGTTTCACCTTGATGGCCCTGCATATCCCGGTGGTCCGGTATGTGCTGTGCTGTGCTGTGCTCCATTGATGAGTCCAGCTCGTCCAGCTGCTTAGGTATCCTGCATCGCGGGATCGCATTTAGCCTCCATGGCCCCCTTTGCCCTCCTCCTCCCTCCCCACATCACTACTTCGTATGTATTGCACGTGGTTCAGGGAGGAAAGGCCCGGTAAAGCCACTGCAGGCAAGCACGAACACCATCAGCATACCTACCTCCTACCCTCTTCAATTCCATCCGTCATTTAACCCTCCCTACCCCCTCACACAATTCCAGTCGCGCCTCACCCCCAACTCCCTCACCGATAAATCCCACCAACTGAGAGGACAAAATGCTCCAACCCAGCACCCTAACCGGTCCCCCTTCCCTCTTCACCACCACATTCCCCACCCTACACCACCAATTCCAGCAGAACGTGCGCGACTACCCAGACACGCTCGCGCTAATCTGTCCCCACCAACCGGCGAACCTCTATACCACCCGCGATGAAGCGTCTTCGACGAGGACCAAGAACCCCAGCGCGAGCTCTCTGCGCTGGACCTACGCGCAGCTCGACGAGAAGATCGAGCGGTTCGTGGCGAGTCTCCGACGACGGGGGATCGGGCGCGGGTCGCTGATGGTGCTGTTTGCGACGAATACCGCGGAGTATGTGGTGGTGACGTGGGCGGCGTATCGGATTGGGTGTGTCCATGTGCCGTTGAGTCCGAGGTGCTTGGGGCATGAGAGGGAGGCGGTGCATATGCTTGAGACGGCGGTGGGGGCGTGTCGGCCGGATGCGGTGGTCGTTGTTGCTGCTGCTGGGTCGGGGCGAGAGGACGTGTTGGGGCGGGTTGCGGGGTTGGTTCGGGGGTTGCAGCTGCAGGTGCAGTGCTGGTTGATTGCGATGTCGCGGGGAGAGGGAGGGGTTAGGGATGGGTGGGTGGGGTTTGAGGAGCTTATGCGTTTCTCGAAGCCAGGGGGCAAAGATGTGCAGCTGGCGCCAGAGGAACAGGAACAGGAACAGGAGGAGGAGGAAGAGGAAGAGGAAGAAGAAGAGGACCGCCGGTCTGATGTTACCCAGCTCTCGGACGATGATAGTCGTCTCTCGGATGACTCCCTGGAGCAGCCACAGCCGCAGCCGCAGCCGCAGCAGCAGCCGCAGCAGCAGCAGGAATCGTCCATCTTCTTCACGAGCGGCACTACCTCCCTGCCCAAGGGCTGCTTCGTGCAGGGGGCCGCCTTCTGCACGACCGCCGCGCGTGCCTCGCGAGCAGACCCCCGCCACCCCACGCGGCCCGGCGATCGCGTCGCCGTCGTGCTGCCCAACAACCACGCCTTCGGCTATCAAATCCTCATGGCGGCCTTCCTCAATGCCGCTACCGTCGTCTTCCCCGGCGAGGCGTTCGTCTCCGAGCGACTGATCGAGACGATCCGCCAGGAACGCTGTGCGCACGTCGCGCTGGTGCCGACGATGGTGCACGCGCTGAAGGGCGTGGCGGTGGCGCCGGCCCAGAAGCTCGATTCCCTCCGACGAGTCGTGCTGGCGGGCGCCCCGCCAACGGAGGAGGTGCTCCGCATCTGTCTCGAGCATCTCGGGGCGCAGGCGGTTGAGAACTTTTATGGGATGACCGAGGGGATCGTGGTTTCGACCGGGCCGGTGGAGAGGCTCGACGAGGCCGTCTGCGGGCGTGATATCTCGATCGGCCGGCCGTTGTCCGGCGCGAGCGTGCGGATCTGCGCAAAAGACAGTCGGGTCCCTATTGCGGTGGGCGCCGTTGGGGAGGTGCATTTCTCCGGACCCAGCTTGATAGACGGGTATATTGGGAACAGGGACGATGAGAAGTTCTACACCGGCGAGGACGGGCATAGATGGTTCTGCACGGGGGATAAGGCCGTCGTTGGGGAGGATGGGCGGCTGTATCTGGTGGGGAGATATAATGACACGATTATTCGAGGGGGAGAGAATATCGAGCCCTCGGCCATTGAGGCGGTGCTGGGCCAGACGGCGGAGTTCCACGTGCTCGAGCCGCAGATCGTCCGAGCCCCGGATAACGTCGCTGGTGAGGTGCCTGTGGCGGTGCTGCGGACGGACGTCGATGAGCAGCTGGCACGCCAGCTCAAAGATACCATCCAAACCAAGATGGGGGCGCTCTTTGTCCCGGCGGGTGTGGTGCCGGTGTCGGCGTTAGGGCTGGATGACTATCCCCGGACCCTTGCCGGCAAGGTCCAGAAGTCGAAACTGACGGAGCTGGTCGAGGCGTACTGGACAGCCCAGAAGTCTCAAGCGCGAAGCAAGTTGTACAGTCGCGCGATGCTTGGATCAAAGCTGAGACAGGCCTGGGCTCAAGCATCGGGGCTCAACGATGCGACGATGATGGATGTGAACGTGAACCTAGCAGCATATGCGGACGTTCGCTTGCTCGAATCAATCAAGACCCAGATCTGGAAGGACATGGCCAGCAACGTCACCTTATCAGACTGGCTGGCGGCTGACACGGTCGCAGAGGAGATGGAAGCGATCGGGGCCAGTGGCCAGGCAGCACTCGCGTCGCATCCAAATTCACGGCTCATAGAATCACTGTTAGCGGCTATTGCCTCCGCGAAGGGCGAGAATATGGACCAGACGCTGCGAATGGTCGACCTAGGAATCGACTCCATCACCTCGATTGCGCTGCTCAACCAAATTCGCCAGGAATCAGGCGTTTCCCTCCCATCATCCCTCTTCTTCACCCCCCACACCCTCGGCGAGCTCATCGAGCGTCTACAATCTTCCACCGACCCAGCTAACCTTCTCGACATTGATCCCACCACCCAAGAGACCCCCCGCGAATGCTTCTCCACCCTCATCCAAGGCACCCCCAAACCCGGCGTCCCCTCCCTGTTCATGACCCCGCCCGGCTCCGGCTACGCCTTCTCCTACGAGCCGCTCCCCAAGTTCGCCAACGACCTCGCCATCTACGCACTCGGCTCGCCCTTCCTCATGACCAAGTCCGCGGCCACCTGGACGGTCGAAGAAGCCGCCGCGCTGTACGTCCAGACGATCCGCAAACTGCAGCCCGAGGGCCCCTATCTACTAGGTGGCTGGTCGATGGGCGCGATCCTCGCCTACGAGGAGGCCTACCAGCTGCGGCAGCAGGGCCAGCAAGTCGTGGGGATCATCAACCTGGACATGCCGCTGCCGCGGCCGGACCCGCACGTCCTGGAGCCCACGGTCAAGCTCCTGGAGGTCGTGGGCTTCTATCCGGCGATCCGACGCGCCGGCAAGCCCGACATGGAGATCCCGTCATACCGGCGCCAGCACAGCTTGGCCTCGGTCCGGGCGAAGCTGAAGTACTCGCCGCGCCCGATGTGCACGGCCAGCGACGACCCCACTCCCGTCCGGATCTTCGTGATCTGGGCGGGCCACGGCGACCCCGATCGTCTGCCTGCCGTGCTGGTGGAGGCGGACGAGATCCTGCGGAGGTGTGGTCCGGACACGCAGGCGCGCACCAGTCAGGAGTGGCTGCAGACGCCGCGGGAGTCGATGGGCCCCGGGGGTTGGGCGGAGATGGTCGGCGAGGAGAATGTCGAGTGTCGTGTTATCGAGCATGCGCATCATGATACGCTGATGGATCCGGAGGTGGTAAGTTACTCTTATAATTCGTTTTTTTTTTTTCGCGAAAGGATTGATCTCTAATGGCATGCGCAGGTGGAGTACACGGCGCGACTGATGCAGGTGGCAGTCGACAAATGGTTGTCGTGACTCGACCATTTTTAGGCAACAGGGAAGAAAAGTCGTCTAATGAGGACAAGGCCAGCTTTTCACGCATTATACTGGTTCATAGCTGTGCATGTTCTCGTGATAGCGAAGTGGTGAAAAGTCCTTCCCAAGGATGCTGCCTGCATAACAGCGGTAATGTTCTTGCATGTTTTTTTCTTAGCGCATAAAATCATCAGCATCGCGCGATGAAGAGGGAGCTATATAATTCGTCTACACATTCTCCCCGTAACCTAATCAATATTAGCGTGTCTCACCTGTCAAAATCTCGCCTTATCTGCATCTCTAATCAACCCGTTAAGCACGTAAGCACTAGTGCCAGAGCCTCTTTCCTCATCAACGACTCCTCCGCACTCCGCCACAACCCACACAAATCAATCCCTCTCCACACCACCCCCAAAAACCCTAAAGAAAAACAAAACAGCCCAACAGAATGCAAACCACAACGCCCCCCTGTCACCTCACCCCGATCAACCTCCACTCGCCCACCGACTTCGCCGAGATCCACCGCCAACGCCGCCTCTGCGGCTGGGACTCCGACCTCGCGACGCTGGAAAGCTGGAGGCGCAAGCAGGACGAAGGCGTGAAGGGGTTCTACTGGCTCTGCATCCCGGACCCTGCTGCTACTGCTGCTGCTACTACTACCAGTATTCCTACTACTACTACCAGTATTCCTACTACTACTACTACGACTACCCAACCACCCGCCCCATCGACCGCAGAGAAAACAGTCTACGCCGGCCACATCTCGCTGGACGCATACAGCGACCCAGCGGACGAGGAACTCGCCCGCGCCGACCGCACCGTCCTCACCATCCAGACCCTCTTCATCCTCCCGGCGTACCGGGGCCTAGGGCTGGGCAGCCGCGCCATGGACCTCGTGGAGGCGCGGGCGGCGACCACCGAACCGACCTGCCGGTGGCTGGCGCTGACGACGCTGAGCGAGCGCCATTATCTGGACGAGTCGCCCGAGGGCACGGGCGTGTGGGCGCGCACGGGCGCCGCGCCGCCGGCGATGGGGTGTAATCAGTGGTGGTATGCGCGGCGCGGGTATGTGTTGTGGAAGGAGGAGCCGCGGTGGAGGGAGGTCGGGGTCGCGGGCGATGAGGTCGTGTTTTATGCGGCGTTTATGCGGAAGGGTTTGCGGGGGTAGGGGGGTGTAAGCCTGTTTTTGGGGTGGGGGGGGGGTGGTATGGGGAGATTAGGTTGCTTCTCTTGGCTTAACTTGGGATGCAGATTTATATCCTATGTTTCGACTTTTTGTTCGTATGGGGTTGGATGTTCTTTGGTGTAAGCGACTGTCTATGAGTCCTCAATTTCTTGTGTATCGAAGTATCGTTCCACAATTCGAATGCACGAGAACTCGGATTTGCTTTTCTTCGCTGATTTTGCATTTCAGCTTCCAAGATACGAATAACCTATTACGTAGCAAGTTTGAAGTAACAATACTGAAGAAACTAGCCCCTACATCCTAGCGCAAGTCTCCAACTTCTATCCCCCTCACGCAAGAATCCTCCTGAACAACGGATCCTGCAGCAACATCTCCGAATCCCCCGTCCTCAAGGTAGTAACGCACACCTCCCACGGCGCAGTCGCACAGCCGCCATCAACCATCCTCGCCGTCCGCGCCGGGAGAAAGATACACCCCCCGGGCACCAGAGCCAACCCCGGCTCGAAATCCGCAATCGACCCCCCCCCGCCCCGAAGTCCAGGGAATACGCGCGCAGATCCCGCCAGCTCGTCACGATAATCCCCGCGGGCCGGCCCTCGACCGTCGTCCAGTCGGCGTGGTCGGCCACGACGGCCGAGGCGCTGTACGCCACCGTCTCGTCCATCACGGACAGCAGGGTGCGCACTCTTAGGGCTAGCTGCGCGAGCCGCTGGAGATCCCGTTCCTCGGCCGTCGTGGGGGCCTGCGCCGCCCAAGGGAGTGGTGTCGGTGGCTCGATTGTGTCGTGGATGGGGAAGATCATGTTCCCCACGTATGTATCGGGGAGGCGGGGGTGCACGCGGTTGCGCAGGTTGACGGCCATGAGAAAGTCGGCTGATTCGCAGGAGGAGGGGGGGGGTTGATGTTTGCTCGGGACGAAGCACGCGGTCGACGCAGAGGGCCAGCGTCGCGGTGATGATGTCGTTGCTGGAGATCCAGCTTGCACTTTCCGGGGACAGGGATAGAAGCTGCTGCGTGCAGCGGTCTTTCAGCTGCGCGACCGTGTGTGGGTCGAAGGTGTACCGGGTGGTCTCGACCACGAAGGCCAGCGCGGACTCCACCGCGTTCCACTGCTCCGTGGACGTGCTGGGGTCGAAGACGGGCGGGCCCAGTTCGACGGTGTGGTCGAGACGGGTCGTGCACTGCGCTGGGAAGCGGGAGACGTGGTTGCGGAGGGGGATGTGCGTTGTCGCAATGGTCTGGGCGAGAGGGGTGTCTGTCTGCGCCGCGCTGGCCCGGCAGCACTCGGCGAGGGCTTCGAGGATCACGCCGGCCCCCGTGCCGTCGACGACGTTGTGCCAGAACGACATGGCCAGCACGAGCTTGCTGGGGAACACATTGGCCTGGAAGCGGAGCACGGGTCGCTGCTCTGAGGCCGGGATGAACGTGGGGAGGGCCAGGTACGCTTGCACGCGGTGCGATCGTGATTCCTCGTCGTGGGCGAAGTGCTTCACCTGGAGCATGGAGACTTGAGAGAGAGGGACCTGCGGCGGCGCGATGTGCATTCGACCCTTCGGCCCATCGGGGGCTTGGTGGAAGATAACATCGCCCGCCAGCCAAGGCAGCTGCGAGACGAGCTTGTCGATGCCGTTCCTGAGGGTTAAGAGCGCAGTTTGCGGGTCGGGCGTATCAAAGTACAAGATGAACGGCAGGAAGAGCTTGGCAGGGATGTGATCGAGAGGGCCCAGGGCCAGAAGATCAGGGTTAGACACGCCGGGCATGATGAAAGCTTTGGAATGCAGCCTGGAGAGCAGCAGATGCGAGTGTGAATTCCCAGAAAGCGTTCGATGTGGGCATGGGCATATTGTATTGCGGTCAGCCCCTGATAGCTCGTGGGCTGTCGGTTTCACCCCCACCCCCCCCCCCCCCCCGGAGAGCCTATCTCGGTTTAATTTGAATGCATTTGAGGGGAATGCGTTATAACAAGGATGTTTCTTTGTTTGACATAGCCGGAGACAACGGGCTCACTATCAAAGACGAATCAAGGGCTATAGCACATGTCAAGTCTTGCTAATCGGGTCCACAGCCGACTACATCTAATAACGGGTGTCATGACATATGGCCTCCTAACCCCGGTGCTAATAGCCCGCTTCACCGGCCCGTTCAGGGACTGAGTGGGTCGTAGTGAGCATTTAGAGTCAAGGCATCAGCCCTGTTTAAAAGCAGCCGGTTGGTTTAGCGTCAGATTGGCAGGTTCGCATGCCTGCTAGTACGAGAGACGGTGCGATCACTTACGCAAACCCTTGAAAATGTCTCATTTGTGCTTTGATGAGTGTCGTAATGGCTCGATATCGCTTGACTGGAAGGCGTTGAAGGGGGTTTCGTCGGAGTCCGGTCGACACTGGGCTGGTTTCCCTCCCCCTGAATTCTATAACTACAATCGCTCAGCAACGCTGAACAATCCACAAGACATTGATCATGAAGAGACTATGGCCGACGCAAGTGTTGCTACGTCGCAGTTACCGGAACATACACCACTGATGGTGCACACCGTGAGGGGCGTGATCGGGGCGTGCGCTGCTCTCGCTCTGGTGGTCTGCTGCCTGAGGGTATGTCGGCCTGCGCTACTTACATGAGACCCAGAACCCCAATTGACTTTAGTGGTCGAACCACAGCTCTATGTTCGCAAATGCGGTATACGTGCATTTGGACTGGATGACTTTTTGGTTCTTCTGGCCCTGGTATGCATTCTGCTTCTCCGCCGGACAAACCAAGAAACAACGTTTTGACCGTGCAAGCAAAGGTAATGGTCCTAGCTTTCGCAGCGCTCTCACTTATCTTGACCCGATATGCAATCGGATACCATCAAGATACTGTTCCCGCCGCAAATATGATTATCATGGCAAAGGTTAGAGATTTCTCCACCCACGAACTAAGCAAGAATAAACGAAGCCCGGCCAATTACCGTCGCCACCAGTACGTGTACGTCCTCTTCTGCCTGGATCTCTGGGTCGCACTGGCAGTCAAATGCAGCCTGACCGTCTTTATCATGCGCGTCTTCCCTACGCAGCCGATCCGCCGCATTGGACTGATCATAATGGCACTCATGGCCATGGTGACCGTGTCCGGCGAGCTGCCTTTGATCCTACAGTGCTGGCCCGTCCGCGCAACCTGGGACAAAACGCTCCCGGAGTACAAATGCTTCTCCGATGCCGGGCTCGAGAACCTCCAGCTCTACCAAGCCATCCTGATGCTCCTGTTTGATCTGATGATCATCGGACTCCCGATGCCAACGATCTGGAGGCTGCAGATGCCCATCCAGCGCCGTCTGTTCATCATTGGGATCTCCTGCCGCGGTAAGAAGCCACTTCTCCCCATTCAAGTTCTATCTTCCATGACATCTGACTCAATCAAAGGACTCGTCGCATGCGCGGCCGGCCTCGCACGGATCCCACTTCTGGGATTCCAGGAGAACTCCACGGACTATACTTGTAAGGTCTACCCCGTTCCTCAGGTCCGGCTGCAAATGAATGATAGTCTAACACCGCTGCGCTAGACGTCGGCGCCGTCCCCCTCGTCCTGATGAACCTAGAGTACGCACTAGGCCTGATCAGCGGATCTCTGCCTTCGCTGCGCGTTCTCGTCCGGTTCATTCCCGGCCTCAGCAGTAGCACAGTAGCAAGAGGAGCACGTATCCAACCCAGGAGTGGGAATTGAGTGGGCCGGCGGAATGTCGCTTCGGTGGCCGTCCGCGCTGGATGCATCGGCTACGGGGCGAGGATGCGAAGAGTATCCTCAGAGCGAGAGTCGGCAGCAGATTCTGGAGGTACAGGGGAGTCCCCGCCCACTGGAGTCTGTGGGTTGCGGGTGATGGCGTTGCAGGCGCAGTTCGACTCCTAGAAAAAGGTCTCCAATGCAATGAGTCCGAGATGCGGTGTAGAGCTGGACCCCGTCAGCCGAGTTGCTTATCCTGTTGGAGAAATCTTCCTAGTCAGTTCGCCGGTTTGTCTACCGCTGATACCCGTCCGCCCATGTGACCGTTGCTCGGGCAAGTCACCCAGCAAGTGATTACTTAATATAACACTCTATTCACTCACAAAATATCAATTGGGGCTGTGGTTTAGTGGTATAATATTCCCTTAGCATGGGAGAGGTCCGGGGTTCGATTCCCCGCAGCTCCATCTTTTTGTGATTTTTTTGCTGTGGTTTGTGTGTTGTCTTGATCTTTCCGTCGAAAGATCTGCCATTTATCTCTGCTGGGTAGTTTGTGGGAGTGTAGCAAGAATGTTAGTAGCTGGCAAGGTCTCTATGCATATAAACACAAGTCATTCATCCATTAGCAGAACAGGTCAATGGTAGCATTAGTGAATTTTCTTGGCAGGGATATCGTCCCCCTATTGAAGAGCATAGGAGTTCATTGCTATTGACATATTGGAGTCACCTCCAAGAAACAAATCCACTGCACAAGGACTCATGTTCCTGCATTGTCAACCCTTGTACTGTACTAGCGCTGAGACGATCTCTTGATCTGCTTGCGTGGGAGCTTTTTGAAGGTTGGACCCTATGACTAGCACAGCCCTCAATTCCCGACAATCCGGTTCCTAGTAATATGAATGATTCTCCCCAGCTTGATTGAAACACGATTGACTCGTTCTGGGGCTTTGCATCCTGCCCAGTGTGGCTAGTGAATGGGCTTGAGTAGCGAGGCAGTCACCTGACCACGGATTTTAGCATCATCTCAACTTACTCTTCAAGATGGCTGAAGCAGGCACTGCATCTATTCTTAATCTTGGTTTCGGCGACTCCGATATCCACCATACGATCAGGGGGTTTGATCGGCCAAGCCATCGGCCGTCGGGATTGTTGGCCTGTCTGGTGCACGCCATCTCGCATGTCGGCTACACTAGCCCTATACGCCTACTTTACGATCTACTATTGAATTTACAGATCCTTCGCTACCAATGGAACTGGAACCGGTGGGCTACTCGCCGTTGTCGGCTCTAGACACTGACTCTATCTTCAGGAGAGGGCCTATTCTTACAGCGCTTTAAGAGTCTCTCCTCTACCCTTGCTTGGTCTTTCCCTCCATCGTCGACATTGAGGCCGATTGCGCTTCGTCCATTCTTTCTTCGATCGGCAATGATCTGCATCACTCTTTGATTCTTCTTTTACTTTTGCCTCATCTTAACACTTCAACATGAAGCAGTCCCTCGTTTCACTTCTGCTGGCGGTGGCCCCCGCCCTCGCCGAATATGTCACCGTCTGCAGCGAGACGACCGCCAATTACGCGCTCAATGGCGGCTTCGAAACGGGCAACACCGATTATTGGGATACGTCCGGATCTTCGGTGTTGGTGGTGAAGTCCGACGCTGCACCTGAGGGAGAATACTTTCTGTGAGCTTGGCCGTGTCTTCGGACTTTCCACCGAACGGCTCCAGCTAACCGTAAACCCCAGAGAGATCACGGCGGGCCTTATGTACAGTGGCAGCCAGCAAACCGTGTTGTCCGTGTCCAGCAACCGGAATGGCTTCCCTCCCACCGACACGTGGACGACTTCGTTCTACTACCAGCTCTACCTGAACGGAGCCTCGTCGTGCCAGTTTGTCGCCACCTTCGATGACAACGAGCAGTACCCATTGGTCTCGGGCTACGTGACCCAGGACGTGACCGAGTGGAAGTATGTGTCCATGGACGTGACCAAGTACCAGGGGGCGGGCAGCTCCGTCACCTGGCCCTACTTCTACGTGATGTGTTCGAGTGGGGAACCGACTCTCTACCTGGATGGCATTTCCATTGCCTATCAGACCGAGACCTGCACCAGCAGCCTGGTTACACCCACTCCGACTCCTACCCCGACGTCGCTCAGCTCGTCGGTCGAGATCGTGACGCCCACGCCGGTTGTTGTGTCGCCTCTGGTGTCGCCTGCGGTATCGTCTGCCGCGGTATCTACTCCTGCAGTGTCGACTGCTGCGATATCTACTCCCTCGGCATCATCTGCTGTAGTCTCGTCTGCCTCGACTCCCGTCGTGTCATCTGCCGCGGTTCCAACTCGCTCGGTGTCTCCTGCTGTGTCTTCGCCTGCCGTGTCTTCCGCTGTGACGCCTGGGGTGTCGTCGCCCGCCGCATCGTCGCCCGTGACTCCTGCGGTGCCATCCGCTGCGGTATCGAGCTCTTCCAGACCCCTCATCCAGCCGTCGTCTGCGACTCGCTCCAACACCCGAGTGGCTGTGCCGTCCGGACCTGCATCATCCCAGCCGATCCCATCCTCCCGTGCAACCATCTCCCAGCCCCACTCTAGCGCCATTCCTTCTTCCATCCGGCCTCTTTCCAGTCCAATTCGTTCCTCGAATGCAGTATCCACGCACCCATCGGTCGTCACCCAATCCAGCGTCAGCGAACCTGCCTCCCTGAGCCCCACCTCACTGCCAATCTCGATCTCCCAGTGACCCAGACCATCGTCCGGCGCAGACGAAGTGACCACCTCGACCATCCTCAGCACCCGCACCACAACAGTGACAGCCTGTCCGCAATCCGTGACCAACTGTCCCGCTCGTCAACGCACTACTTACTTGACCACAGAGACAGTGGTGGTCGGGACTACGATCTGTCCCGTCACTGCCGGCGCTGAGCCCACTGCGCCAGCCAATGGGCAGGGTTCAGGCCCCCAATCCACCACCTCGACTGTTTTCACCACCCGCACCGCCACCGTCACCGCGTGCCCGACGTCGGTCACCAACTGCCCGGCCGCGCAGCATACGACCTACGTGACTACGGAGACGTTGGTGGCGTACACGACTGTCTGCCCGGTGACGGCGACGGAGACCCAGGTGCCGGTTGCTACTGCTGGTCATGGTAGCTCGGGCAGTCACAGCAGCCCAGGAGACCAGGGCAGCTCAGGCAGCCATAACAGCCCCGGTGGTTACAGCAGCTCCAGCGATTCCGGCGCCAGCTCCAGCAACCAAGAACCCGTCTACTCCACGGTCGAGCGCACCCTGACCTACACAGTGACTGCGTGCCCCTCAACCGTTAAGAACTGCCCCGCCTCTGCACGCACCACCTACATCACGACCCAAGTCGAGGCCGTGGCTACCACGATCGTCTCGGTAGCCGGTGGACGACCCACTGCTGCAGCCGGCGCCGACGCTCACGCCGTTACCTCGGCCGGTGGTACTACGATTGCACCGGCATCCGGAGTCCGACCGGTTACCACAGCTGGTGTCGACGCTCTTGGTCATGCTTCAGGCGCTCAGAGTGGTGCCACGGAGTCCAGCGGGCAGGGCGAGGGCCAGTCAGCCGCTGGGGGTGTCGGCGTAGCTGGTAGCATTGGGGAAGGCTCAAATGCACGCCCTGCTTCTGCTTCTGCTTCGGGATCAGGATCTGGGTCTGGATCTGGATCAGCTCAGACTACCGGCCAGTCTTCCGAGGGCACGCAGTCGGATGCCCAGGGCTCAGTCCCTAGCTCCGCGGCTGGCTCTACATCCGGTGCTGGCCAACCGACATCCACGACCAGCGGCAGCAGCGGCAGCAGCAGCAGCAACGCTGAAACCACCAAGCCCAACACCCAAAGCTCCTCCGAACATAATACCCCCAACTCCGCATCTACCGCATCCGGTCCCAGCCAAGCGGCAAACGACACCACCAACGGCGACAATGACTCGACCGGCGTTTCCCCGATCGCCGCATCCATCCCCGCCGGACCGCAAACCACCCTTGTGACCATCGTATACACCGCCGGCGGCGAGACCACCACCGCCACCATCACCACCGTCATCCAGCCCGATGTCACCGCTCTCCCGGGCACAACCCTGAGCTCCCCGCACCCCGGTGCAGACTCCACCTGGTCCTTCGGCTCCAAGACCAACAGCAGCAGCAGCAGCAGCAGTAGCAGCTCGCCCATCGCCATCGCAGCCAGCTCCAGCGCTAGCTCCTCTCCTTCTTCGGCAGCTCATGGCTCCACGACCGCAGGAGCGCCAAGCGCTTTGTTCACGGGCGCAGCTTCGGCCGTCGGTGTTTCGGGGGGTGTCGTCACGCTAGTGGTTTTTACTAGCACGTTATTCCTGCTTTGATTCCAGGTGTGCAGTATATATAGTCCCTCGCATTCGAGTCGTAATTGACTAGTGATGGGATACAGTACTAAACATATATATCATTGCAACGATTGTGGTTTTCCCTTGTGTATCTCACCTGCGCTTCTCCATCTCTGCCAGGGTATTTAGACTGCGGGTGGATGTAGATAGCCCTGGGGGTCTGGTCGGGTCGGGTCTGGCCGTGTAGATGCCTCGATAATAGTTAACTAGGCGCAAATGTAGTATCCACATTGCTGGGCAGCGACATCCCCGGGATTTCTTACATCCGCAGGACTGAGATATATTTATTCCTGCTCTGCTTGACCATACTGGAACACAAGTTCACCACTACCTCTGGAAGATATGTTCCGCTTTGGTGAAAAAAGGAATTGGAAGATCCAAAGCCCGGTCTATACACTTTCACAATGGCAAATACACCCTCCCCTCCTAAACAAGAATAATTCCCAGCATTGGAGTCTGATACACCCCCCTGCCAATTAGCCGTATGTGTTGGCTCATAGAGCACAGGTTTTATAAGCATCACATCAACCAGCATCATTGGTCTAGTGGTAGAATTCATCGTTGCCATCGATGAGGCCCGTGTTCGATTCACGGATGATGCAGTCCCAATATCCGATGTGGTGTAATGGCTAACATCGCTGTCTCTCATCGAGATACCACAGCAGCTCGGGGTTCGATTCCCCGCATCGGAGATCGCTTTTTGTCCTTTTGTGGCAGGTCTTCCCCGGGGTTAATTGTGAGAGCATTCTGTCGAGGGACGGTGAATTGAGTTTTCCATGGGGATGTGTTTAGGTCTAGCCCGCTGTCCAATCAGGCCCCAGCATCGATCGACGCCTTGTGGCCTGGGGCCTCGGGCAGCAACAGCGGCGAGCCCTCCCCTATCGCCGAAAAGGGGCCATCGAGTGATCGACAGCCCCAGCCAGCCTCGATCAGCAATTCACTACGAGGGTCCACACCGCTGCTTGACTCGCGATTTTAGTCGACCCAAAATGAGAATAATGCCCAGCAGGCTTAGTCACATCTGCATATTTGACCAACCATAAAGCCCACACCCATCTCCGTAGTCTCACGCTTCAGCCGCAGCCTCACGGTAATCTCTAACCCCTCCCCCCCCGCCAGCTTCACAGGTGACAGGGACACCATGTCCACCCTCCCAGCCAACTGGCACATCCCCCTCGTGCAATGGCTCCTCATCCAGCCCCTCGCCGGCCTCGTGGTGGCCTTCACCGCGCCGCGCGCCCCCGCGCGCCCCGCCACCGCCCTCCTGATCGTGGCACTGGCCTACTCCATGCAGCGCAGCGCGCAGCTCTACTACGGCGGCACGCGGTTCGGCGCCCCGCTGATCTCGATGTGCTGGGTGAACGTGCTGAACGCGGTGGACCTGCTCGTGCTGAGCCGGGTGTCGTTCGAGGCGCAGAAGCTGTGGGAACTCGCCAAGTACGCGCGGGCGACTGGGTCGCTTGCGAAGCAGCAGCAGCAGCAGCAGCAGCAGCAGCACTCACCACACCAAAAGCAAAACCAGAACACAAAACAAGTTGCAACCGCAAGGGAACGACTCGCCCGACTGCGCTGGGCCCTCAACATCGCCTTCAATTACCGGCGCATCGACACGCCGTGGGAGATCCGGGTTCTGCCGCGGTTCGACGACGCCGCTCCAGAGTATGTGCCGTCGCGGGTCCGGTTTCTGGGTCGCACGGTGCTGAAAGTGGCTGTTGCGGTGGTCGTGATCCAGGGGTGTACGATGGAGACGGATGATAAGAATCTGGGCACCGCGGTGGCGCTGCTGCCGGAGGCGCGGGAGGCGCTTTGGCCGTGGGCGAATGGGGCGACGGCGGCTGGGTGGGAGGAGTTCGGGCGCAGGATGCTCGTGCGCGCGCTGTTTTGTCTCTCGTTTGGGATCGTGGGCCGCGCGACGATCGTCGCTTCGTATAATGTCTTCGCCATCGTGGCGGTGGGGTTGGGGTTGTATGAGCCGGTGCAGTGGCCGCCTGTCGCTGGGTCGTTGTGGGAGGGCTGGTCTATTCGGCGCTTCTGGGGGTATGTTCTTCTTTCCGTCCCTTTCGAGATGACTGTTCCTTTCGGGGTGTAAGGGCAAGGCATGGCATGACATGGCATGGCTAATCTGTCAACAGAATAACGTGGCATCAGACCTTCCGCCAGCTGCTGACCTCCAACGCGGACTTCTTGCTCGCCCTGATGCGGATATCGCCTAGTGGACGACTGGGGTGGACCCTCCGGGCTCTGCTTGCGTTCACCGTGTCAGGAGTCATTCATCTCTTCATGGACGTGGGGTTCGGGGTGCCGATGGCCAAGAGCGGCGCCTTGTGGTTCTTCAGTCTGCAGATTGTGGGAGTCGTGATTGAGAGCATTGTGCGGGATCTCTTCCAGCCACTGCGGGCTCGGATGAATCCCGGCGTCAAGAGGATGATTGGTTATGTCTGGGTAGCGCTGTTCATGCTGTGGACGGTCCCGATTTGGATCAACCCCATCTTGATCCAGTTGTACGGTGATGGAGTCCGGATGATGTCGCCCTTTTTGTGCTTCGGAAGTAGGAAGATCTGAACATTAGATTTAGAGCATCGAGTTTGATAGACAGGTAGTGACGATGTTGGCCATCTACAACCCTCCATCCCAGTCCACCCAATTGAACGTGTTCAAAAGCTCCAGGTGGGGATACTCCGCGCCGATAAAGTCGTGCATGCCGAAACTGTCCATGGCCATCGTCGGACGGCACAGTGAAGCCGGCATAGCGAGGATCCGGTCGAGCGACCGTTGCAGGATGCTCTTGATCTGTGCCTTGGCGGAGATATCCGAGCCGCAGGGTTTGAGCCAATCCAAAAAGGCCACGAACAGGCTTAGATTCTGGATCGTCTCCGAGCGAGAGAGGTCCAAGTGGTAAGCCTGGGGATTGGACGCTTGGCGGAGCAGCTCGAGACAGAGGATTCCGCTACACGGCGCGCCGTACGACATCGCCTGCGCTGTCGATCAGTACGCGCACGAGAACAGGTGCGAGCCCATGAAATGGTACTTACTAGCCATGAGAAATCATTATGCAAGGCCATGAATCGGTCCTTGTGTTTCCAGTACAGCAACGTGAGAGACAGCGTCTCCTGGCTCACCCCGATGAGCGCCTGCTCGGTGACGATCTTGTGACGGGTCAGGAGTCTTTCCAGCAGAAACTGATTCAGCAAGTACTCCAAGCGCACAAGAATCCGGGTATGCAGACAATGCCCCGGGATATCGAGATCGTCTATATCTTCCACTTTGTGGATAAGGCTTTCGGGTAGCTTGTCATAGATGGCAGACGCCCGAGCCTTGAGATTACTATATTCAGTCAGTTAGAGCCCACGGCAAGTATAGGCTGCGACTCACAAGCACGTCTCAATAGCCGAGTCAGCGATCTCGTCCAGCGAGGACTCCAACACCTCCAATATCTCCTCGCGGTTCCTCGCGAACATGGCCCGCGCGCGCAGGATCGCAGCCTGGGTGAATTTCCTGCCACTGTTGCGATCCCACCCGTCGGAATCCAGCTTCGCAGCGGCGCCCGTCACATTACCGGACAAGATATCGTGGTCGCTGATGTCCAACGGTAGCTGGGTCGTTGAGAACCTCCGACTCAGGAGCGGCGGCCGACCCGTCAGGGTGGAGGCGACTTTGTCAAACGCGAAGATCGCCGAGTAGAGACGTCTTTTCAGTTCATGCTGAAACGATACCTCATTCCATTCCGATGATGGCTCGCGATGAAGCCCGATGGACGTGGTCACGGCGATAGTATCACCGTGTTGGCGCCAGCAGGAGAGACCTACCACCGTCAGCAACCTATCGCCTCCCAACCTGACCGAGAACACCCACTCTTGTCTCCACTCACGTTGCTCTCCAGGATATTATGCTTGTACAGCAGATGCAGGAACAGCACATTGACACCTCCCAGCTCGCTGCACATCTCAATGCACATGGACGCGCATTTCTTGAAATGGAGCATCATCTCCTTGGCGCCCTTCATCGCCCGGCCCGCGCAGTAGGATGCGATCGCCGGACTGTCCGGGGCCAGGGACACGCACCCATACGACCAGTACGTAAACAGCACGCCGAGGAGCTCCCACCGCGCCTGTCGGCCGGAGAACGACTCAATCCAGCGATGCGGGTCCTGCTCCGCGGGCAGCGGGACAACCGTGCATTCTGCTAATCGCCTCGCGAGGGCGTGCAGATCGTCCTGCGTGCGTGCCCGCAGCACAGGCCGATACGCGTCCCAGGTCCGCTTGGACGCCTGCCAATTGGCCAATCGGAAGCACGAGTCCATGGAGACTTCACAGCGCACAAAGAGCAGGTTACAAGTCTCCTCGTCCGGGACGTTCCGCAGGATCTGCACGCCGAGGTGGACTAAGCGCGGCGTGATGATCGGGTTCGTGGCGGGCTGGACCGGCGACGGTTGGTGCGGAACTGTGTAACCACCACCGCCACCACCAGCAGCCACCCCGGCAGCAGGGCTGGCGAGTGTGTGATCGACCTCGAAGCGTTCGCGGTGCTCCACAAACACCGAGGTGAAGCTCGCCGGCCCCAGATACTCGGCGGAGCTCTCGATGATCGGCGTGGTGGACTGCGCGCCGGGGCAGGTCTTTGCACTCGGCATGGCGCTACTATCGCTCGGGATGCTCGGGATGCTTGAGTCCGGCGATGGTTCCAATGAGTCGCTACTGGCAGGCTTTGCTTTTGTCAGCGGATTGGCGAGGTAGACGCACTTGATCGACAGTCGCTCGCACCGGCGACAGGTGGGCAGTTCGTGGTCGCAGGCGAGCTTGCGCCGGCGACAGGGCTCGCATGCGGGCTGGCGGCCATTTTTGCGACGCAAGGGGGGCATGGGATATATATGAGACGGATGATACAGTGCTAAGAGGAAGATGGTTTGACAGGCATGGTGAGGTTGTTGACGAGACGAGGGTGTGGGCGACGCTGAGGTTCGGAATCGGCATCGGCATCGGCATAACGGAGTTCCGAGCCCTCGCCCACCATATAGAACAGCCGTGACAGTCTGTGCTACCCTCAAATTTACAGAATCCTGGAGGTGAATGTCACATTTTGTCAGTTCTTTTCACTTTGTATGATGCTCCGTGGTGATGTCCGCATGGGACGCCGGTTTAGCCACTAGTCCGTGTCCGCTACAGCACTATCAACCAGCAACAGAACATATCAAGAGCTCCACGTTGAACAATATCGTTGAACCGTATGTCGCTTTATTGTTTTCACATCATCTATATGCAGAGCCAGCAGGCATACATTGGGCGCTGCCTGTCAGGTAAATCTAGTCAGTTCTGACCCAGCTGAATCCTTGCTTTCTATCACCACAGTTCGTCCCGTCTCGAAACTCCGACAGCATCGCATCCTCCTCTCCTCTCCTCTTCTCCAAACGCAGAGTCAATAAACGAAAAGCCTCCCTTCAATTCTTCCTTCTCGACTACAACCCACCTACTCTCCTACTCTCTACACTCCATAACCAACACCACACATACCACAACCCTCACGCCCAGCCAAACCAGCTCACCAGATAAGCCGCAAAGAACCCGCAATTCATGCACCCGCCCACAAAACAGAAGCCCAATTTGAACCAGCGGGCGCAGCTCGCGGGCACGGACAGATCGACCGAAACGAGCATGACGACCAGCGCAACCGCAGACCCGGCGACGCCAACGACAAAGTACACGGGGGGCATCTGGATCCAGACGCCGGCGAGGGCGAGCAAGGCGACCTGGCCCACGGCCAACGCGGCGCAGAGTGGCTTGGTGGAGTGGCGGAAGCGGACGGCCATGGACTTGACGCCGGCGCGGACGTCGTCCTGCAGGTCCTGGTGGGCGTAGACGGTGTCATAGATCATGGTCCAGAGGATCTCGGCCAGGGCCAGGGCGAGGGTAGCGGCGGTGGTGGGACGGTCGCGGAAGGGGTCGCCCTTGCTTTGGGCGTCATCGTCACCGACCAGCGAGTAGGCGGACAGGACAATGGCCAGGGCCAGGGGAACGCCGAGGATGGCCTGCGGGTAGTGGGTGAAGCGCTTGCAGAAGGGGTAGAGGGCGTAGAGGGCGCCCATGGCCGCGGCGGCGTAGGCGGCGCTCGGGGTTTGTTTGGGTAGGAGAGTATGGAAAAGCTGTCCCAGGAGCGCCAGCTGCAGCGCCAGGAAGACGTGCGCCTGCTGCGTTGAAACTGCCCCGCGCGCGATCGGCCGCCCCCGGCACCGGTCGACCTGCCGGTCATACTCCTGGTCGATGTTGTCGTTCCACGTGCAGGCCGCCCCGCGGATGAGGATGTTGGCCACCAGCCAGAAGATGCTCTGTGCGAGAAGCTGCCGCAGTGGCACCGTCCTGGGCCCCGCAAGGCTCGCTGCGTACACCAGCCCGAGGATCGAGGGCATGTAGAACCCGATGAACCCCGCCGGCCGGTCGAGGCGCATGAGCTGGAGGTATGGGATCCAGCTGGCCGGGTTGGTGAGGCTGAGCGGCTGGTCCTGGGTGCTGGGGGTAGGAGGACCCTTGGGCAGGGTGGGTGGCGCGCCACCGTCGCTTGTCTTGGTTGAAACTGGCATTGTTCAGCTCTCTGGTGAAAGTGGGCAACGAGGAGATGAGGAGAAGAGAGAGAGAAAGGAATCGACGATGATGGAATAAGATCTGTCCGAGTTGAGTCGGTCAATTAGCCCGTTCTTCATGGCTTCTCCTGGGACTGAACGTCAGTTATATACCCTGGGCACGGCATGTTCGTATTCAGATGTCAATGGGGGAAACCAGTAAGCTGGTCGTCCGTCAACCCGAGCAGCAGGAAACAGGTCTCGAGCAAACGAGCCTCCTCACCAGAAGCCACGAGCACAGTTACGGCATCTCGGCTCAGCATAGGTACTGTATAGTCATTGCATAGTCTTCTCTGATCAGACAAGAGGCGGGGTGAGGGTGTGTTGAGGCCGGTTTGGGGGCTAAACTTCAGGGACCAATGTCCTGGTCACTCATGCAGCCCTGAAAGCGACGACCGAAGAACCGACACGAGGTAGATAGACTGATAGAGTGATTGAAAGAGAGCAGAGTCCAATCAACGACACAGGATTCATTGGATAGTTGATGCTGACTATGACGAGAAGTCCTAACGTGCTTTTGCACGCCCGCCTGCTTACTGCCACTGCCATCGTAAGTTCCACCTGTCAATTCATGAACAGCAGTACGAACAGTACCGGTTCGGCTCTAACCCTAACGAAGCAAGTCTGCAGCGATCCGGAACCGCCCGGGAAACGGCAACACGTTTAGAATGGCAGCAGGGAAAGCGCTTCGCAGCGTTACATACACATGTGTCAGATTTTAGATCGCTTCTGGATGGACCTTTTAGTCTCCACGTGTGGCCGGATTAATATAAAGCCTCCTCTCGGTTCGACCGAAGCTGAGGCTATGTTTACATAACTATTGTCTGACTGCGTCAGGCTACGGCGTGGGGGCGAGACACTAACTACGAAACTGCCCATGAAGTGAGCAGGCATTCAGAAGACCTCTGCTGATTACTATGGATGCCTCCAAATGAATATGAGGGTTACTGGGGGGATTCGAAGGATTGATCCCCCAGTAGAGACTAGAGACCAGGGTTTGCAGCGTGTCGTGCGATAGCCCACACCATGGGAGAGAAAAAAAGGTCGCCCGGTGCAGGTATAAATGTGCCCTAAAAGCACCCCACGCGGTCAATTGTGCTGTGCTTCATCCAGTTCACCTTCCTCGTTTCCCTCAATCAAAGATGTTGTTCAGTTGGAGATCGTTGGGACTCGTCGCCGGGACTGCGACGGTGACGGCGGCTGCTGCTGTTGCCTCGTCGCAGACCTCGACTTCCTCCTCAGTCGCGCGATATCCTTATGGCCTTCTTCCGACCCGAAATCTCCCCGCGTGGCGCAAAGACAAGGTATGTCCTCCTTGTTCCCGCCCCCTTCACGAGCGGAAATATCCACGCTCGATTTTTCGCAGTGTCTAACGATTGACCAGACCTGTCTCACCACCGCGCCCTGGTCAGATGTATCTCCCTCAGGCGACCCTCCTAACACGGGCGTAACACGGTACTACAACTTCACTATCGCGCGGGGGACCGTGGCGCCGGACGGAGTCTCTAAAGATGCCATCTTGATCAATGGGCAGTTCCCCGGTCCAATGATCGAGGCCAACTGGGGCGATATGATCGAGGTGACGGTGCGCAACGAGATCTACGACGACGAAGAAGGCACGACCCTGCATTGGCACGGATTGACGCAGAAGAAGACGCCGTGGGAGGACGGAGTGCCGGGGGTCACCCAGTGTCCCATCATCCCCGGGGGGAGCTTCACCTACCGCTTCCAAGCCGATCAGTACGGCACGAGCTGGTACCACTCCCACTTCAGTGCCCAGTACACCGACGGCGCCTACGGGCCGATGATCATTCACGGACCCGTGCAGCCCGGGGCCGAGTACGACCTGGACGTGGGCCCGGTGATGATCGCGGACTACACCTACCTCGACTACTACTCCGTGCTCCAGGAGATCCTCTCCATCCCGCCCAGCTTTCCCAACGTGGACAACAACCTGATCAACGGCCACGGGGCCAATGGCACGGGGACGGGCTACGCGCGGTTCAACTTCACCTCCGGCAAGAAGCACCGGCTGCGGCTGCTGAACACGGGGGCCAACGCCAACCAGAAGTTCAGCATCGACGGGCACACGATGACGGTGATCGCCAACGACTTCGTGCCGGTGCAGCCGTATACCACCGAGGTCGTGACGCTGGGCGTGGGCCAGCGGACCGATGTCATCGTGGAAGCCACAGGCCAGCCGACGGACGCGTACTGGATGCGCGCCACGCTGGATATGTACTGCCTGAACAACACCGCAACGTATGAAACCGTGCAGGCGGCGATCTACTACGAGCAGGCGAATCCCAAGGCACTACCCACCAGCGAGTCGACCGCGACGTGGGAGAGCAACAACTGCCGCAACGACCCGCTGAACACGACGGTGCCGTACTACGCGCAGACGCCGCCGGCCACGCCCGCGCTGACGGAGACGCTCGAGGTGACGATGGGGGTCAACGCCTCGGGGAACTACCTCTTCTTCGTGAACAACTCGACCTTCCGCGCCAACTACAACACGCCGCTGCTGCTGCTGGGCCGCAACGGCAACTTCTCCTACCCGGAGAGCCCGGACCTGAACATCTACAACTTCGGGGCGAACGCCTCCGTCCGCCTGGTGATCTACAACGTCTTCGCTATGCAGCACCCGATGCACCTGCACGGCCACAATTTCTGGGTGCTGGCCGAGGGCCGCGGTACGTGGGACGGCACCATCACCAACCCGTCCAACCCCCAGAGCCGCGACACGCAGATCCTCCAGCCCGGCAACGCTGAGGACCCCGCCTACCTGGTCCTGGAGTGGCAGCTCAACAACCCGGGCACCTGGCCCCTGCATTGCCACATGTCCTTCCACGTGAGTGCGGGCTTGCTGATCAACGTGGTGGAGCAGCCGGATGCGATCCAGACCCTGCAGATTCCCAAGAGCATGGCCCAGACGTGTCGCGACTGGGCTTACTTTAGCGGACATGAGTTTGTGGATGAGATCGACTCGGGGGTGTAATGGTAGGGAGAGAAGAGAAGAGAAGCAGAGAAGAGAAGCAGAGAAGAGAAGAAGGGGGGGGTTTTTTGTTGGGGGCCAAAAAGACTGGTCTGGTCGATAACGGCATCAATCACTAGATAAGAGTACCTTCTGAGTTAGTGTACAGTACGATAATAATACAAGTACAGTCTATATGCATACATACCCACATAATGTGTACTGTACTGTCCTTACTATTGCTTATGCAGTGCATGGGGGCTGCATTGGTGGGGCGGGACGAAGGGCTGATTGATGGTTGACAAATCAATCCAAGTCACTGTATCCTTAGGTGATGTGCTTGTACTCAACTCGGCTCAATTGATGGGTTCTGCCTCAATTGCATGAATATCGATTAGTTTCTGGGGACCATTTAATCTACCGTATTGCATTGAGCCGTGGTGAAACACTGAGCAGAATCACGTTGAGCTGGCGGGGGCTGGAATACCCCGGAGATAGCCCTAGTTAGGGACTCAAATAGGGGCCGAATCCCAAGAGTCAAGCCACTCAGTCCTCGCACAGACAACACGCTTGTTTTTCCTCACCCGTGGTCCAGTCTCTCCCCCAATCCAAAGCGGGGCTCTGCAACTTGACATCTTGGACGCGAGACCCACGTACCATACACTGCACGTTCCAACATCATGCAGGTCTGGCACTGGATGCGTGAACACCCCCTCCCGTCGGCCTGGGTAATTGTCAGCTATAGTCAGCTATAACTCGGTAAGCTATGGAAACCACCGTCTTTCCTCACAACAATTCAATCACTAGGACCAGAAGCAATACGCGAGGACACCAATCCGCACCGGTGGCCAACAGCTACCCACCCACATCTCGGTTGGTGCCAGATGGGGCAGGCAGGCTCAGGCCGACCGCCATCGAATGGACCCCAACCACCATTGCAGCAGCCATCCAGGTAGCGCAGAGCACCGGAGGGCCAAAATGCACCCATCGCCTTTCTGAGTGGCTCCCTGCAGTTTGGTTGATATGGGATGACGGGCCTGACTGCGCCCTGCAGACAATGCTGCTCATCGACACGTCGTGGCAACGCCGCTATAAGTGTATGCGCCTGGCTTACCCCCCCCCCCCGCTCTCCCCTCCTCTCCTACCCTGCATTCCCTGCCTCGCGCTGATTTCCCCAACCGGCGCAGCCTGCAGACTCAGCGTCCTAAATTCCGCCGCAGCGCGAAGGAAAACCCACGCATCGCCATGTCAGCGGCTCTGCCTCCCGACGAGGACCGGGCTGTGAGCCTGCTTCTATGCTTCTGGATCCCCTTCCCCTTCACGGTGGGCTTGGTCGTGACCCGCTTCTACTGTCGGGGCATGCGGAAGGACCTGGGGTATGACGACTGGACGATCCTGGTGGCCTGGGTAAGTCGCTGCCAGCGCAGCCAGCATACCCCGAGATACACAAATCGACCGACGCACTGACCATGTGAACCAACAGATGCTCTACACGGCGGCGGCAGCGATGAGCACGGCGATGGAGCTGCGCGGCGGGGCGCGCCATGTGGCCTACCTCAGCGCGGAGGAGATCCTGTACATCGGGAAGATGCAGATCATCAACCAGTTCCCGGCGGCGCTGTCGGCGATGTGCGGCAAGATCAGCGTGGCCCTGTTCATCATGCGCATCTCGGGCCGCACCTCCAAGGGGCGCCGCTGGTTCCTGACCGTGCACATCGGGCTGTACTTCTGCCTGACCGTGTTGAGCCTGTGCATGCTGATCGGCCAGTGCAAGCCCGTCCAGGCGCTGTGGGACCTGAGCCTGCGCACCTCGGGGCAGGCCACGTGTTTGGATGCGCGGATCAACACGGACATCACCATGTTGCAGTCGGGTCAGCTCCCCCTCCCCGCTCTTTCTAGGCCTTTGTGTAAAGCTAACTGGGTAGTATAGCCTTCGGCGCATACCTAGACTTCGTCCTCGCCCTGCTCCCGCTGAGCTTCATCGTCGACCTGAAAGTAAGCCTACGCAAACGCATCGTCCTCTTCTGCATCCTCAGTCTAGGTATCGTGTAAGTGCCCCCCTCCCCCTATCACCAAACCAAACTAACCCCCCCCAAAAGAGCAGGCGTATGCGCCTGCATCAAAACCAGCGAATTCATCCCGGCCACCGGCGGCACCGACCCGACCTGGGACGGCTACGCCCTCTACCTCTGGGCCTTCCTCGAGATCCCCCTGGTAATCATCGCCGCATGCATCCCGCCGTCCAAACCGATCTGGGATTTCTTGGTGAAAGGGCAACCCATCCGGCCCTCCAGCAACCACAGCAGCAGCAACTACACGGGCACGGGGTCCGGATCGACGGGCTCGTACCGGATCGGCTTCGTCAAGACCTCCGTGCGCGCCCAGAAGAGCCACCACAAGCACGCCGCCAAGCGCATCAGTGGGCGGCAGGCGGCGGATGACGGTGACGCGGTCAATCTGATTGTCCATGGCGGCAAGGGCGGGGCGCCCAAGAATAATATTCAGCAGACTGTGCTGATCACGCAGACTTCCCGCGAGCGGGGGTCGCCGCGGCAGTCGGAGACGAGTGTGGGGAGTCCGGTTTGATTTTTTACGTTTTTGTTATTGAGGGATTGGGGATGGGGACGAGGATGCTGGCTTTGTTGGGTTGTCGATTATACCACCGTTTCTTTCTTCGTTGGAGAGGTTTGAGTGTTGGTTGATCTGGGCATAGGCATAGGTGTATAATATTTTGGTATATAGGTCTTGGATATGCACTTCGTTCTTGGATGGTGGAGTTGGTTAGAGACCACAGTATTACAGTATACAGGGTATTATAGTATGAAGGTGACTCGCTACTGATATGAGTCCCAGCCCGGGTAGGTTGTTTAGCCCCGCTCGCCGCATTGCGAACTTGCATTTGTTCCTGTGGGGGAGTTAAGTTACCGTGAACCAGTTATGGAGGATTATCTCTAGAGAACCGCCTTGGTCTGCTACTGGCTAGTTCCCCTGTGTCCGGCTATCTTCTTGACTTCACTGCCTCTGCGCAGTTGACTCTCTCTCTCTCTCTCTCTCTCTCTCTGTCTCTCTCATTTCATCATTCTTTATCTTTTCTCTGGAATATCTCTCCTCATCCTATATCTACTGCCAATACAATGCACAGTCTGGGGAAAGGGAACCTAAGACCTCCTTTAATTACCCTTGTATCTGGCTTCTAATCTAGGAACGGTCTATAAATGGTCTCCCACCTAATCGCAGCAGACCTTGAATGACAAGACCATACATAGACATTACTTAACACCCAGCATCAAACCTACTTTGCAAGCAGCCTGCACCAAGGCCTAAACAAATAAATTCGTCCTGTCCAACTGCATCAGGTATCCCCGCTCTCGAACCAACCACCCATACAATCTCAAACCGGCACCGCCTCAAACAGCGCATTCGACCCGGTACCCTGGTTCTCAGCCCGCCACACCTTGACAACCTTGAACCCGGCGCGCTCCAACAGACTCAGCCACTGCTTATCCGTGCGCTCCAGCGACGAGAACATGGACAGCATGATGAGGTCGACACTAGCATTGAAGCGAGGCACGCCGGTCTCGGGGATGGTGTTCTCATTGATCAACAGGACCGAATCCGGGGCCATGGCCTCGCGGACGCGGGCCAGGGCCTGCAGGGCCTGCTTGTCGGGCCAGTCGTGCAGGACGGTGCGCAGGTAGTACGCCTTGGCGCCGCGGACGGGCTGCGCGTCGAACATGCTGTAGCCGACGGCTTCGATGTGCCCGCCCAGGGGGCCCGGGATGTCGGCGATCACGCTGGGCAGATCCTGCAGCACCAGCCTGCGGCCCGGGTTCTGGGACTGCTGGAACCGCTGCAGGTCGTGGCCCTTGCCGCCCCCGATGTCGACCAACAGCACGCGCTCGGCGTCGTCGTCGGCGGCCGGCGTCGCCAGCCGCTCCGCCCACGGGTAGAAGTCGTACCACTGCTCCCCCTCGACGGCGCGGTTGCTCGTCTCCATCACCACGTTGAAGGCATGCTGCTCCTCCGCGTTCGCGCCCAGCCACTCGAAGTGGTGCAGCGGCGTGTGGTACGCCAGCTGGAAGGGGGTCTCGTACGCGTCCTCGGGGCTCGTGTAGTTTCGGGCCGCCAGGAACTCGTGCGTGTACGCCGTCGCCCGCAGGATCATGTGGCTGGTAGGCGCTCGGTTAGCATATCTTCCACCGTCCACTACCCTCGTATATCCCCCTGGGGGTGGGGTGTGTGCACGTACAAGTTCTTGATCACCTCGCTCGGCGGCGCCCCCGTCGCGAACGCCAGCGCAAAGGGCTGCGCCTGGTACTTCTCCGCTGCTGTCTCCGTGAACAGCCGGTTGGCGCTCAGCAGGCGCATGATCCGCACTGTCCCATCCCCGAAAGATTAGCGCACTCGACCGAACCCGCGGATATCTCGAAAGTCCTCTGCGATCTGGGGTAAGGGAGGGAAGCTCACCCAGCATATCCTTATCGCCCTTCGTCTTCGCGTTCAGCTCGTCGGCCGTCAACTCCGCGCCCGGGCCGGCGGCGGCAAAGGCGTCGAAGATGCCCATGCCGATGGCGATGCGGAGGGCGATGAGGGGGTGTGCCTTTTGGTTTGGATGTTAGCCATTCATGTTGACATCGGTTCAGTTCAGAGGATTTTTTTATTGTGTGTGAGTGAGTGTGAGTGAAAGTGCAGGGACATGGCTGGAGGGGAAACACACCGCCCAGCAAATATTCAGCACCGTCGCGATGGGCGGCTCGACCGCCGCCTTGAGCTTCTCCAGGGCATCGATGAGGCCGAAGCGCGCCGCGTCGGGGATCTCGTCGGTCGGGGACAGCTTGGCCAGCGCGGCGGTGACGGCGGCTGTTACTTCGGCGACGGTGTCGGCCATTGTGATTGTTTTTGGGGGTGGGATGGAGAATAAAGAGGTGGGAGGGCGGAGGGGGGGGGTTGAGAGTGACAGGTAGTTGGTGGGGATGGAATGGGTTCAAATGCTTTGCCTGGAGGGGAACGTTTTATACTGATTTCGATCTCAGCACCCACCCCGGGGTTGTGTTCAGGTTCAGCTCGGGCTAGCTCGCTAGCTATGTCCAGTACATGATGTTAAGGTACTACCTGTACTGTACCCAAGAACTAAGATGGAATAATCCACCCCCCCTGCCGCGGGGCTTGTTCGCGCCCGGTGGGGAGGGGAGCCCATCATACTATACACATGAGTGATTCCATTGGGCAGGTGCGCAAAGACAATCACTTAGTCCTAAGGCCCTGTACCTAGCCAGAATAGTGTCCTGTTAGCGCTACGATGTAACCCTAGGTAGGCCTTCGTCTCTCTCTGTTCAGAAGATCGAGGCGGTGACACCGGTCAGCACTAATGCAGCGTCGAAAAGGGGCCGTTTCCCGGGTGAGTATCTGTTCAATGTCGACGGTGCCACACGGGTTCTTTCTTTCTTCGTGGAGGAAACCATCTGGACCGGTAGGAACAATCGCAAAAAGAGAATCAGCAATGTCGGGTGCGCGCTGAGTCGTGCCATAGGAATCAGCCGTGCCATTGGGGGAAATGCAGGGGAGAAGATAAGCCCTAGGCGGTCCCTAGTGCCGTGCTAAGTCGATGCGGAAAGGTCAGTCCGTAAGCACTAAAGTCATCCTGACCGGTCTTTTGGACGAAAAGACGGGTGGGAGGAGATGTAGAGGGACGTTAAGGCTGGAGGGAAAGTTTGGAAGTATGTAAATTTGTGTGTCTGAGATGATGATCGTAAAGGCCAAGTGGGATTAAGTTGTGTAGCGACAACTGCTAAGCTTCGGGAAATCCTTTGCATTCCAGCTATGCATCCTCCGCTGTGCTCGGTTCCTTCGGGTGGAGGACGGTATGGTACAGATACAGCCATGGTATAAGGGTGACTTGTTGTGTATTGTATCAATGATGACTGTATTCATGTACCATCCCGGCTGACCGTCAGCTGAAAACGCAAGATACGACGTGCCCTAAATCCCCTCCCCCTCCCCCGCCACCAACCGCTCCAACACCATCACACTATGCCCCCCCTCCGTGACATACGGCACGACCTCCACCAGCGCCAGCCCCGCCGCCCGGAACAGCCGGGTCCAGTGCGCCAGCGTGCGCTCCTGCGCCGCCAGGCACGCCATCAGGGTGATGTCCATATCCACCACGGCGGGGCCCGCCCCGCGAGCCGGGCAGACGATCTCGTCCACCAGCACCAGCGACCCCGGCCCCATCGCCGCCCGCTGCAGCCCCAGCAGCCGCACGCACTGCTCGTCCGGGTAGTCGTGCAGCACGTTGCGCAGGTAGTAGACTCCCGCCCCGACCACCGGCTGCGGGGTCCAGAAGTCGTGCGCCCGTCGCTCGAACCCGGCGTGCGGCAGCGCCTGCGCCACCACGGGGGCCAGGTCCTCCAGCACCACGCGCCCGTGCCATTGGGGCAGCCGCTGCAGCAGTTCCACGCACTGGTGGCCGACGCCGCCCCCAACGTCGACGAAGAGGGGTGGGACAGGAGACGGGGATGCCGGTGCTGCTGCTGCTGCTGTAGTGGGGGCGGTGGTGCTACTGGCCGAAGTAAGCAACCGCTCCAGCGGGAACACGTCCAGCCAGATGGGCTGCCCCACGCGCTGGGCGCTCATCCACCGACTGAAGTCCTCGAACAACCGCGGCGGGGCGCTGCCGCCCATGAACCAGGCGAAGACCGTCTGGTCGGTCTGGTGGGCCTGCTGGAAGGCCGTGCGCTCCCGATCGCAGGGGTTCTGGTAGTTGGTCGCTGCGAGGAAGGCCGGAAGCGCCCCCCAGGCGGGCAGTTGCACCTCGAAACTGTGGAAATTGGAAATTGGATTAGTCGTGGGCCGTGCAGACACGAGATGGCGGGGCCAGAACTGACTGGTGCTTGATCCCGGCTGCGAACCCCGGCACGGTGAGGGCCTGGGTCACGGCGGTGGCCTGGAACCGGTCGACGCCGGTTTCAGCGAGCAGGTGGAAGGCGGCCAGATAGCGCAGGATACGCGCGATCAGCCCAGGGTCTGCGCCGGTGGCCTGGGTCAGCTCCGCCAGGCTCATTGGCTGGTCTTTCGCAACGAGGATCTCGAAGAGGTTCAGGTCGATGGCGACCTTGGTCATCGTCAATTGCAGCGGCTGGGTTTGTGTTAGCGTCAACGAACGTGATCCGGAGGGGCAGCAGCACCTACTGCGAAAGAGATCCGGTGCACGGTCTCCAATGGCCGTTCGACTGCCACCAGGGCCTGCGACAGCGCCTGGGACAGCTGCCGGCGAAGGTCATCATCCTCAGGCACCTGCTGGCGTA